GAGCCTGCTTTTCTTTGCCATGGGGTTCAGGAAACCCAGGACACCCTTGAACCTCCTATGAGCCAAGGATGACCTTGAACTCCTGATCCTCCCTCCTGCCTCTGTCTCCCAGTGCTGGGGTGACCGTGTGTGCTGCCTGCCACTATGAGGGTGGTGCTGGAGGTCAGGGTCATGTGACACCAGGAGAGTGACATACCTTCCGAGCCTCAGTGCAGAAGCCTGTTATATCAGACACTCAACACACCTGTCGGGTGGACCGACACAGGGCCGGTGGAAAATTCTCCACCTGAGTCACTATCAGTGCTCAAAGTATTCCAGATTTTTAAAAGACTTATTTATAGCTGGGTGGTGGCAGCACATGCCTTTAACCCCAGCACTCAGGAGGCAGAGGCAGGTGGATCTCTGTGAGTTCAAGGCCAGCCTAGTTTACAGAGCAAGTTCCAGGATACTCAGGGCTACACAGAAGAAACCCTGTCTCAAAACAAACAAACAAAACCTTTGGCAAATCGTGGAGAAGGTGCCAACAGTGGTTGTGATGGGCAATACTGCCACCCAGACAGGGTCTAGAATCACCATGGAGACAGGACTATACAGTACATCCATGAAAGATTTTCTACATCAAGTTAACCAAGGTAGGAAAACCCAGCCTGACCGTGGCGGCGCTGTCCCACAGGCTGGGGTAGGCTGAACCAGTGGTCACCTCTCTGCTTCCTGACTTGCACAAGCATAAGGACCCGAGTTCAAATCCCCAGCACCCACATAAAAAGATGGACATGGTGGTGCAGGCTGGTTGTCCCAGTCCGGGGGAGGCAGAGACAGAAGACACACGGAGCACGCTGGCCAGTCAATGTGCCGACATGTCCCAGCCCACTGAGCACTGTGGCGCACACCTTTAACCCCAATGCTTGGAGGCAGAGGCAGGCGGATCTCTGTGAATTCATGGCCATCCTGGTCTGCAGAGCGAGTTCCAGGACAGCCAGGATACAGAGGAACCTTCTCTCAAAACGATAACAATAACACTAACAAAAGGACAATGAGAGACAGACAGACAGACGAAGAGACAGTCTCATCTCCCTGTGCAGATGTCACAAAACCCCAGCCTCTGTGCCCACCGCCCTCCCCAGCCTCGCAGATCTCCACCTTGCCTGCTCTGCCTCTTTGCTGGGTGCCCTGGCCGGGCCCCACCCTCCACAGCTGCTCTTGCACAGCTGGCTCCACGGGGCTGCTTTCCGGGAGTCATCCAGGGCCAGGCCGAGGCTCCATCAACAGTCTCGGGTGCACTGGCGCTCTGACTGTCCCTGGTTTCTTGCTGTAAAACCTCCAGGAGACGGAGGACCTCTGCAGCCCGGTGTCAGCTCCAGACACAAGTCCTGAGTCCTCTGGCTCCCAGAGCAGGCTGCCTTCAGCCCAGACTGCCCTCCCCAGCCTCGACCTGCCATGCCCCAGGTCCTTCAGGGCAGACATTCTGTGGCTCTGCAGCCTGCTGGGGGGTGGGGGGCTGGTGGCTGGGGAGGGCGCTTGGGGGGGGGTTGGACCCAGGCACAAGCCACAGAAGGCTGAATCCCTGTTGCTGTTTGCAGGCACCATTCTGGCCAGCAGTGTGGCAGGGCCTGGACAGGGCAGAAAGGACCAAAGCAAAACAGAAAATCTTTCACAGACTGGGAGACCAAGACAGAAGGGTGGCGAATTGGAAGTCAGCATGTGCTACACAGTAAAAGCCTGCCTTAGGGGTAAAAAGAATCTTACAAAAAAAATCTGTGTGGCGATGTAACTCAGAAAGCTGAGGCAGAAGGATTGAGAAGTGGTCGTGGTGGCGCAGCCTTTAATCCCAGCACTCGGGAGGCAGAGGCAGGCGGATCTCTGTGAGTGTGAGGCCGGCCTGGTCTACAGAGCGAGTTCCAGGACAAGTACCAAAACAATACAGAGAAACCCTGGCTCAAACCCTCCCCCAAAAAAGAACAGAAACAAAAAAACAACATTAAAACTGCAAGGAGAGGGCTGGCAAGAGGCTGAGCAGGTAAAGGTGCTTGCTGGGAAACCTGAGGCCCGGAGTTCCATTCACAGGACCCACGTGCTGCAGACAGAATGACCCGCAAGACATCCTTTGACCTCCAGACACACGCCATGCGCTGCCCACAAAAATAGTAAATATAATGACAAACTAAAACACAGCAACAAAAAACTCTAAACGAATAAATGATATTCGCGTTTCAGGGGCCAGTGAGAGGGCTCAGCTGGTAAAAGGGCTTGCTACCAAGCCTGACGACCTGAGATCGATCCCCAGGACCCACAGGAAGGAGAGGACCAAATCTCAAAAGTTAGACTCTCACACCTGAGCCACGACGCTCGCCCACACGCTCTCCACACAAATAACTAAAAAACAGAAAAACCGAACCAAAACATAAACCTCACACATTGCAAACCAAACTCCCTTGTATTGGAGAAAAACATTGCAGAGGTCCCCAGACAGGCGCAGAGTCAGAGTTTGAAAGCACAGAAACCAAACAGGTACAAAGAAAACCAAAGCTTGCTTTGAAATTCAGTTGTCAGTGCAGGCCTGGCACAGGCACTAAGACTTACAGACATGCGGGGTGGGCTTGGGATGTGGTGGGGTCACGGTAGGGCGGGGGACGGGTTAGGACCCAGGCAGCACTCAGCAAAGGACACCTTTTCAACGTCTCCATTCTGGTAGCTCGTACTCGTCACCCCAACACTCCAGGAAGCTGAGGCAGGAGGATTGCTAAAGCTTCCTGGCTACCGTATCTGCTACATCTCTTCAAAGTAATTTTTACTAGATCTTTAAATTTTTCAAAGACTTATTTCATTTTTAGCCTGTGTGTGGGCTTGCATGCAGCGCCTGTAAAGTCCAGAAGGGGGCGTCAGATTCCCCCAGATCTATAGTCACTGGAGTTGGGGGGCCACCATGTGGGTGCTGGGAACCAAACCGGGGTCCTCTGAAGAGCAGCAATGAGCCCTCTTACCACTGGGCACCTCTCCAGTTGCCCCTTTAATTCTTTAACACGAACCTTGTCCGTTTGTTCTGAGACAGGGTTTCTCTGGGTGGCCCTTGGCTGTACTGGAACCTGATCTGTGGACCAGGCTAGCCTTGAGCTCACAGAGATCCTCCTGCCTCTGCCTCCCGAGTGCACGCCACCATCGCTGGCTTGTCTCTGTATATAGCCCTGGCTGGCCTGGAACTCACAGAAATCCACCTGCCTCAGCCTGAGTGCTGGGATTAAAGACATGCGACACCACGCCCTGACGTTTAAGCTGCATGGTGAACATCCCCTCTCCCTAGCCTCTGTAACCGTCTCCCGTGTTTTGGGCCGCGAAGTTCGTCAAGGGAATGAGTTCAGCCCTTGTGGAAAAGAACCATGATAACGGTGGGTCAGGAGCGCAGACCGGCCAGGGCCACATGGAAACTTCATCTACCCTGTGTCAACTGGAAACCAACAAGACGTTTTCTCTCATTTACAGCCACACGGGGCCATCCCCCACCCCACTGGTGGGCCGCCCACCCCGAGAGCCCCGTGAACCACACAGTACATCAAGAACCACAGGAACCTTGCGGGGGGGGGGGGCGCTCTGGGGCATCGCCTAGGCCCCCTGAGTCTCTGGATCCCCAGTTGGAAGGTAAGGAAACAATAGAGGTTTAACCAGAAAAATACCTCTCATCCCTTCTGGGTGGGAGGTCTTCTCACCTGTCAATGCAGCCCCTGGCCACACCCCGGCCTGTCCCCGCTGTCAGAGGCTCCCTTGGGCCAGGCCGGCAAACAGATAAACAAGCCAGGGGATGTGGGGCAGGCAAGTCCGGGCGCTGGCTCCCCTGAGCCCCTGGCCCGGCTCCCAGGGCGGGGTGGGGGAGCAGACAGGCCTTTGTCTAGGCTTTCTGAAGTAAAGGCCTGGGACTCAGCCTTCTTGGCCAGGGAGGGATGTGACAGCTTCCACCCGTCAGTGGGTGTGGTGGGTCACGGGTTAATCCCAAGAGGAAAGTTGTCTCACACAAAACACACCCAGAGAGGGAAGGGCAGGGGGAGCGGCCACCAACCAAGCAAAACTGGCTGGACTTCTATGTCCCAAGCCCTGGCTGGGATGAGGACAGGGGTCCTGCATGGGGTGCTGCTACCTCAGTCACCAAGCAGGCAGGTTTGTGACCTAGGAAATGTTTCCCCACCCTCAGGCCTGTCAAACACCCCTCAACCACCTATCCTTTCCACCTGTGGGAGTGAGGGGCTTGGGGGACACCCTCGCACTGCTTCGAGGGGCCTCATGCCTCAATGGCCGACCGCTCATGCTCATCTGGTCCCCCGGGCTGTGTACACAGCCCATCAACCTCTCCAACAGACCCCTGCTCACACCAGTCTGGGTTTGGGGACCGGGTACACCACCGTATTCAACCAGAACCAGTCACTCCTTGAGACGCACCATCAGGTCCCCCATTTTCCTGGGGGGGCGCTCAAAGAAGAAGGGGGAAATCAGATTAGAGCCCCTGACAGGGAACCGCCCGCCTCGCTCTCCGCGGAAATCCACCTCTCCAGACGGTAGCAACTCAGGACCACATTTAATGGGCCGAAATCTGTTCCGCCAGGCGGCTGCCGACCCGCTGAGGCCACGAGGAGGGCAGAGCGCAGGAGGGACCGACAGAAGCGCCAGAGGCGGCGAGGCGAAGCTGGGGGAGGGGAGGCGGGAGCGCCCTGCTTTTTGGGAAGGGTCCCCACTACTCCCGAGGTCCCGCAGGCTCTCGGGGGGCGCCCACCCACAGGTGGCCCGGCTTGGATGAAGAAGGGTCGTGTGCGCGCGTGGGCCTCTCTCCTCCGCATCCTGCAAGCGATGTGTGGGTGCAATCCGGGTGCCCCCCCCAGCTTGACTGGGTACCAGGCCTGGAGCGCGCAGCCCAGCTCGATCCCTCCCCTTTGCAGCTGGGGACGGTCTCCCCGAGTCGCCTCCGGGTCCCCCGGTGGGGGCCTGGGACGGCGGAGCCCGCGTGGCCGGGTACTCACTCCATCTCCCGCGAGGTCCGTGGGCGGCGCAGCGTGGGGCAGGGCCGACTCTAGGGCCTGGCGGCCAGGGCTGCGCGGCGCGGGGGCGGCACCGGCGCGGGCATCGTCCCCAGCGCGCCGGGTATTGTCCGGGCGCGGCCGGGTGGGCTCGTGCGCGCGCCGCCTCTGCGCGCTCCCTGCGCCCCACGCGCGCGCCTCCTGCCGGCCGCAGACGCCCCGCACCGGCGCAGCTGCAGCCCGGAGCGTCACCCAGATCCCGGACCTCGTCACCCTGAGCTCTAGACGGGAGGAAAAGGAGTTCGGATCTAGCCGAGGGCCCGAAATGGAGCCCCCGAGCCGAGGGATAGCACAGCAGCAGTTCTTGGGGAGCTCAGCTCCCGCAGGAAGCCCAGCCTGGGCTAACAGCTGGATATGGTCTATTGAACTCAAGAGTTTCGTCAGCCGCATGATCCTGCCAGAGTGGCTGAAGGGCAGCGGGTTAATCAGACTTTGTTCCCAGGTCGCTGGCAGAGCCAGAATAAGAAAGACATAGGTCTTCCCCTCGAGGGTGCACCACTGACTTCCTGTGTGCCTACCTGGACTGCAACCCCTTGGTCCTAGACACATTAGGCTTAGGGGTAGCGCAGAGAAAATGTGTCTCAAAACATACTTTTATGATAGAATAGTTATCCTTTGGCTTGGCTTTGTAGAGCGTGCGCGTTCGCCTTGTGTGCTTGTGAGGGTCAGGGACGCCCTCAGCCATTCACCTTGCCTTTGATTTCTATTGACGGGGTCCCACTGTATAGACTAGGATGGCCTGAGACTCCCAGAGGTCGCCTTGCCTCAGCCAGGCCTGCTCCACCACACCTGTCTTCCCTGGGTTTAGATCTGTATGTGTTTCTTGGCCTCTGTGGCTTTCCGTCCATTCCACCTCCTTAGGCTGCGGGAGGGTTGAGAGCTCACAGCAGGGCCCAGGATAGGCTGAGGGGTGAACTTGGCAGGTAAAAGGCCAGATAGTAAACATTGTTGGCCCGACGGTCTGTGCTGCAGGGACTGTACTCTGTCATGGACACCAAAGCAGCTGGAGGAGCTATGTGAACACAGTCGTGTGTCAATAAAATTTTATTAACATCGTCCACAACTGGGCGATGGTGTCACAGGTCTTTAATCCCAGCACTCAGGAGGCAAAGTCAGGCGGATCTCTGTGAGTTTGAGGCCAGCCTGGTCTACAGAGCAAGTGCCAGGACAGCCAGAGCTGTTATGTAGAGAAACCCTGTGTCGAAAAACCAAAAATACAAAGCAACAACAACAAAATCATTATTGACAAAGACAGGCTAAGTGCTATATTTTGCTGAGCCTGCGCGGGGTGCTCAAGCTGAGAGATAGCGGGTGTCTTCGCTGTTCCTGGGTTTCTGTCTTTTCCATCTAAAGAGAATTATTGAGATCTGACTGTGAACATTGGTGATTCAGAACACAGCCTTTAGAGGGGCGGTGCTCTTTTTCTCCTAAACAAGTGAGTTAAGGTTTAGGTTGCTCTCCGCGCACCAACACCAGGGAAGTAGAGACAGGAGGGTCCCTGACCATCCATCTAGCCAAGTTGGCATGTTCCAGGCCGGGGAGAGATCCTGCCTTTTTCATTGTTGTTGTTTTGTTTGTTTGTTTTTCAAGACAGGGTTTCTCTGTGGCTTTGCAGGCTGTCCTAGAACTCACTCTATAGACCACACTGGCCTCAAACTCACAGAGATCCATCTGCCTCTGCCTAGGGAGTGCTGGGGTTAAAGGCGTGCGCCACCTAAGGTGAGACCAAAAAAAAAAAATGTTTTTAATTAAGAACAAAACAAAACAAAAAAACCAAAGCCAGAAGTGAGCCAGATGTGGTGATAGCAAGTCACCCCAGCAAGGTTATCATTGGCTACCTAATGATTTTGAGGTCAACCTGGGCCGCAGAAGACCTTGTCTAAAAAAAGAGAGAGTCAGGTGTGGTGCACACACTTTAATCCCAGAACTCGGGAGGCAGAGGCAGGTGGATCTCTGTGAGTTCGGGGCCAGCCTGGTCTACAGAGTGAGTTTCAGGACAACCAGAGCTACACAGAGAAGCCCTGTCTCAAAAACACAAAAACTGAATCAATCATTAACTTAGTAAACAAATAATTACACAGGAGAGAGGGAAAGAAAACCCAGAGGGCCTATGGGAGGGTTGAGGTGTGGGGACTTTTCTCTCCCTCCCCCTCCCTAATCCTCACGGTGTTCCTGGATATCCCAGATCAAGACTGAAACCCTTCCTGGATTTCTCAAGACTGTGCATTGTCCCAAGGCTGCTGTGAGCTTGGCAGTTGAGGTGAACACAAGATGGTTTTACATTTCACAACTGTTCACCAAAACGGAAGGAAATGGGGAAGTAACTGGGCCACCCTGAGTCTGCAGCCGGCACCTTTCGGTCACTTGGTGTGGTGTGTGCGTGTGTGCGTGTGCATGTGTGCGTGTGTGGGTGTGGGTGTGTGTGTTAAGGCAAGGTCTCACTGCGTAGCCCTGGCTGTCCTAGAACTCACTCTGTAGACCAGGTTGGCCTTGAACTCACAGAGATCCACCTGCCTCTGCCTCCCAGTGCTGGGATTAAAGGCGTGCGCCACCACCTCTGCTGCCTAATTGCTAGTTTACTTTTTGCATTCCAATCCCAGTTCCCCCTCCCTCCCCTGGTTTTATGAGACAGTATTATTTTGGAGGCTGTCGGTCTAGCCTGGCCTCGAACTCACAGAGATCCGCCTGCCTCTGTCTCCCAAGTGCTGGGATTAAAGGCGTGTGCCACCAACGCCCGGCTCCCATCTGCTTCTTGAAGATGGTAAGACCTCCCCTAAAAGTGTACTAAGGCTGTCCCATCATCTAGTTGAGGCCCGACCAGCCCCACCTCCCCCACCTAGGCTGAGCAAGGCATCTCTCCATATAGAATGGGCTCCACTAAGTCAGTTTGTGCATTAGAGTTAGATCTTGGACCCACTGCCAGTGACCTCATATACTGTCCCAGCCGCACCATTGTCACCTATATTAAGGGAGTCTAGTTTGGTCTTATTCAGGTTCCCCATTTGTCAGACCTGAGTCAGTGATCTCTCACTAGCTCGGGTCAGCTGATTCTGTGGGTTTCCCCATCACGGTCTTGACTCCTTTGTTAATATTATCGCTCCTCCCTCACTTCGATTGTACTCCACGAGCTTGGACCATTGGATAGTTGTGGATTTCTGCATCTGCTTCCATCTGTTTCTGGAAGAGGGTTCTAGTTTCCCTGGGGTTGTGGATTGTAGGCTGGGTAACTTTTGCTTTATGTCTGGTATCCACTTATGATTGAGTATGTACTGTATTTGTCTTTCTGGGTCTGGGTTACCTCACCCGGGATGGTTTTTTCTACTTCTGTCCATTTGCCTGCAAATTTTAGGATGTCATTGCTTCTTACCACTGAGTAGTACTCCACTGTATAAATATACCACATTTTCTCTATCCACTCTGAGGGGCATCTAGGTAGCTTCCAGGTTCTGGCTATTACAAATATTGCTGCTATGAACATAGTTGAGCAGATGTCCTTGTGCCTCCTTTGGGTATGTGCCCAACAGTGGTATTGCAGGGTCTTGAGGTAGATTGATCCCTAATGTTCTGAGAAACTGCCATACTGATTTCCACAACGGCTGTGCAAGGAGGAGTGTTCCCCTTTCTCCACATCCTCTCCAGCAAAAGCTGCCACTGGTGTTTGATCTTAGCTATTCTGATCAGTGTGAGATGGAATCTCAGAGCTGTTTTGATCTGCATTTCCCGGATGGCTAAGGCTGTTGAGCAATTCCTTAAGTGTCTCTCAGCCATTTTAGATTTTTCTGCTGAGAATTTTCTGTTTAGATCTGTACCCCATTTTTAAATTGGATTATTTGGTATTTTGGTGTCTAATTTCTTGAGTTCTTTATATATTTTGGAAATCAACCCTCTGTGAGATGTGGGGTTGGTGAAGATCTTTTCTCATTCTGTAGGCTGCTGTTTTGTCTTATAGACTGTGTCCTTTGCCTTACAGAAGCTTCTCAGTTTCAGGAGGTCCCATTTACTAATTGTTGCTCTCAGTGTCTGTGCTATTGGTGTTATATTCAGGAAGTGGTCTCCTGTACCAATGCATTCAAGGGTATTTCTCACTTTCTCTTCTATGAGGTTCAGTGTGGATGGATTTTTATTTAGGCCTTTGATCCATTTGGACTTCAGTTTTGTGCATGGCGATATGGATCTATTTTCTTTTATGTTGACATCCAGTTATACCAGCACCATTTGTTGAATATGCTTTGTTTTTTCCAATTTAGGGGGGGGTTCGAGACAGGGTTTCTCTGTGGCTTTGGAGGCTGTCTTGGAACTCGCTCTTGTAGACCAGGCTGGTCTCGAACTCACAGAGATCCGCCTGCCTCTGCCTCCCGAGTGCTGGGATTAAAGGTGTGTGCCCCCACCACCTGGCATCTTTTTTCCATTTTATATTTTTACATTCCTTGTCAAAACTTAGGTGTTCGTAGATGTGCAGGTTGATATCAGGGTCTTCAATTCGATTCCTTTATAGCCAGCTAATTTTATTTTTTATGTTCTGGGTGTGTTCCTGTGCCTATGTACCACATGCATGCAGTGCCCACAGAGGCCAGAAGAGGGCGGCAGATCCCCGGCAACTAAAGTTACAAACTATTGCGAGCCACCATGTTGGGTAGGAACCGAACAGAGGGTCCTCTGGAAGAGCCGCCAGTGCTCTAACCGCTGAGCCACCTCTCCAGCCCCTCTTTCTGTTTGTTTGTTTTTGGTTTTACTTTTATTTTTTGACAAGGTCTCACTCTGTAAACCAGGCTGGCTCACCTCCCAGTGTCTCCAGAGTGCGGGGGTTAAAGGTGAGCGCCCTCTGGCTTCCTTTCTGTTCATTGTGTCTGTTTCTCCATCCTCCCCTCCATGTGTCTCATTGCATCTCCAGGTACTCTCTTTCTTTCTTTCTCTCTTTCTCTCTCTCTTTCTCTCTCTCTCTCTCTCTTTCTTTCTTTTCTTCTTCTCTCCCACTCCCTCTTAGTTGCTGTTTCACTTCTCACGTGTGTGTGTGTCTGTCTGTCTGCCATCTCTGCTTGTGTCTCTCCTCTTCTCTGTCTGGGCTCTCTCCCTTCACCTCCTCCCCCATGCTCTGTTGTCTGATGCTGTCCCCCTCCAGTCCCCTGGCTCCCGCACACTGTTCCTGACCGCCCTCTGGAGTCCAAGGCGCAGATGTGCATCCTCCGTCCTCACGGTGGTTGGAATAAGCCTCTTGGAGGAGAGGTAGCCAAGACAACAGCCCCTCCCTGCAAGGTGGCCTTGCTGACACCGTGTTCTTCCACCTCCCTGAGCTGCATGGGGACCTCGCTGCCTGAGCACCATTGTGTACCCTGAGTTCATCCAGGTCAGTCTGTCCCCTTCTTTCTCTCGAGTCCCCAAATCTGCATCAGACGTGGAGTAGGTCTCATAGGCCAACCGGGGCCAGCCTAGCTGGAGCTAGGACATTGACCACCAAACGTGGACGAGTACAGGGCCAGCCAGTGTGTGCTGGAGACACAAGCCCACTGCTATCTATCCCGTCCAGCACCCGGATCATTCTTAGCTACATACTGAATGTGAGGTCAGGATGGTGTACACGGGAACCTATGTACATATTCTCTCCAAAGGGCTCCACCATGGAGAAGCCCAGGCCTAGCACATAGGTGGTCTCTGGACCCCAGAACTCAGGGTTACTTTTTTTTCTTTTTTAATATTTTATTTATGTATTGTGTATACAGTCTTCTGCCTGCATGCCAGTGGAGGGCACCAGATCTCATTCAGTGTGCCACCATGTGGTTGCTGGGATTTGAACTCAGGACCTCTGGAAGAACAATCAGTGCTCTTAACCGCTGAGCCATCTCTCCAGCCCCAGGGTTACTCTTATACTCACGGTTCTTCCAACAAAGTCTGGTACACAGTTGGAGCTCAATAATTGCAGTAAACTCAGCCAAACACAAATCTCTCCAAAGGATTAGCCTTCCTCATTGTCCTTAGGGACCTGAGATTCATGATGGAGGTCAAGGATCAGGGTGCCTGCCCAGGGCTACCTGGCAAGGGTCCGAGGAGTAGGTGGGCGTGGTGCTTCCAGGGTGACTGTGTCCCCTGAGATGATCTGAGGGGCAGTCACAAATGAGCTAGCACGATGAGCTTATAAAATTATTTTCTGAGCTTTCATGAACACCCATCTTGGGAACAAGGGACAGTTGAACCACCTTCCCTGTTTCCCAGAAACCCCCTGCTCCACCTCCTGACCACAGACCACAGCCCTGTTCCTACTTTGTGACTGGACCGTTGGTGACGGTGCCCCTTCCAGGGAGACACCGTCCTACAGCAGCCATGGTGCCCAGTGCTGGACACCGGGGCTGCCTGCTGTTGGAAGCGGCAGCTGTCCTGATCCAGCTCATCCCCCCTGGTGAGAACTTCAAACTGTCATTAAACCCTAACCGCGGTGACCTCAGGTGACCACAGGCTCCCAAACAGGAGCCACATCTAGGCTAATTGCTGAACCAAGAATGGTGGCTGTGGGTTTCAGCATGAGGTTCTGGGTAGAGATCTCAGCCACCTCAGGTACAGGGTTATGGGCTCTGGGTTTCCTTATTCTTTCTTCTTTGCTTTTTTGTTTGTTTGTGATTTTGTTTGTTTTGTTTTTTGGGTTTTCAAGACAGGGTTTCTCTGTGGCTTTGGAGGCTGTCCTGGAACTAGTTATTGTAGGCCAGGCTGGTTTTGAACTCACAGAGATCCGCCTGCCTGTGCCTCCCAAGTGCTGGGATTAAAGGGGTGCGCATCAACACCTGGCTCTTCTTTGGTTTTATTTTTACGAGTGTAAGTGTTTTGCCTGTATGTCTCATGCATGCAATCCCTGAGGAGGCCAGGAGAGGGCACCAGATCCCCTGGAACTGGAGTTACAGAAGGTTGTGAGAAACCATTATTGCAGGTGTTGGGAATCAAACCTGAGTCCCAAAACCAGCCACAGGTTTTAAATGATGGACCATTTTCCCAAGTCTCCTAACCCTAAAATCACCTGTGTTTATTTTGATGGGTCACATGTCTATGGTGCTTGTGGTAACCAGGGGTTCGTTCTGCTCTTCTACCGTATGAGTCCCTGGGATTGAACTCAGGTTGTCAAGGTTGGTAGCAAGTACCTTTGTCTCTCTCCTATCTATCTATCTATCTATCATCTATCTATCTATCTATCTATCTATCTATCTATCTATCTATCTATCTATCTATCCACCCATCTATCCATCCATCCACCCAGCCATCCATCCATCCAGCCATCCATCCACCCATCCATCCATCCACCCATCCATCCATCCATCCATCCACCCACCCACCCACCCACCCACCCACCCACCCACCCATCTATCTATCATCTATCTATCTATCTATCTATCTATCTATCTATCTATCTATCTATCCATCTATCCATCCATCCACCCATCCATCCATCCATCCATCCATCCACCCAGCCATCTTTTTTATTTAATTTTGTTGTTGTTGTTGTTTGTTTTTCGAGACATTGATTCTCTGTAGACTGGCTGTCCTGGAACTCACCTTGTAGAGCAGACTAGTCTCAAACTCACAGAGATCGCCCTGTCTCTGCCTCCCGAGTGCTGGCTGCGATTAAAGGCGTACAGTACACACCACCTGGCCCACCCGCCATCTGTCTTAATGAAAGCAGGGATTCATGTGGTCCAAGCACCTTGAAATGACTGTGCCGCTGGGGATGACCTTGAATTCCTGACCCTGCTGCCTCCTCCTCCAGCGTTCTGGGATGATGGGTGAGCATCAGCACACCCGGTCTGCACGGGGTGAGGCGCTGCCCAGGGCTTCATGTACGCTGGGTGAGCGCGCTGCCCACTAAGCCACAGCCGTAACTCGCTCTCTTTTATTTAGGGAAGATCTCACTGTGTCGCCCTGGCTGTCCTGGAACTCCCCGTGAGGACCAGGCTGGCCTTGAACCAGCAGAGCTCTGCCTGCCTCTGTTCACCCCTCTCCTGTCAGCCCAGCCTCTGGCTCTGCTCCCTGCCAGGGCTGGCCTCTACCGTCCCTTTTCCCGTCCTTGTCCTTGTCTCTCACACAGCCACTCCTGTCCCAGGTTGCTGTGGATCCCAGATTATTGGGGGCCGTGAAGTGACACCACATTCCCGGCCCTACATGGTCTCTGTGAGCTTCGAGGGCCGTCACCACTGCGGAGGCTTTCTGCTCCACGTCCGCTGGGTGGTGTCAGCTGCGCACTGCTTCAATGACAGGTGACGTTGGGGTCACGGAGGGACAAACTCAAGGCCATCAGGAAGCTAGGACGTGACACAGACAGGACCAGCCCCTCCCCCAGGGCACTTCTGGTGATAACAATTAAATATAATAACTATGACCACCTTTAGCACCAACATGTGTCACTGTCAGTGTTCACATTACGGCTCGGAATGGCAGCCTCGTCTGCAAATTCCAATTAGCCAGGAGGCTAGAAGGCTGAGTCAGGACAGAAACTGGAACCTCAGCTTCAGCTCTAGACTGGGAACGTGTCATAAAAAAATAAATGAACAGTTGTAGGGTTGTAGTGAATAGTAAAGCCCCTCCTAGACTTCCCAGTAAGGGGCTGCGGGCGTGGTCAAGAGTACAACACTTGTCTAGCAAGAAGCTTGAGGCCTTCTGCGTCATACTCAGCACTACCAAATCGTGTCAAGGAATTCAGACCAACAAATAAGGCTGTGTTGTGTTGTGTACGTTTCTATAACTTTTTAAGTTAGTGTTGCAAGGCCTGGAGCCCTGTGGCGGCGGAGGAGGACCAGAGACGGTGAGGGGCTGCGTGTGAGGAGCACTCCTGGTGACCGCAGTCCTCCTGTCCCTGCAGGGACCCCTCCACCGGCCTGGTGGTGCTCGGGGCCCATGCTCTGCTCAGACCGGAGCCCACACAACAGGTATTTAGCATTGCGGCTGTGGTCCAGCATCCCAGCTACCAGCCTGCCACACAGGCCAACGACATCTGCCTGCTAAAGGTGAGCCGGGCCGGGGCTGCCACACTCAGTCCCTCCTGACTTCTCCACTTATTTACTCAGTTTTCTTGCAGGGTTGGGGATGACCTCTTTTCTTCTCGGGGCAGGGTTTCTCTGTGTGACCCCAGCTGCACTGGAACTCACTCTTTACAGAGCTCCAGAATGGCCTGGAGCTCAGAGGTCAGCCTGCTCCACCTCTGAAGGGCAGGGCTAAAGGGGTGCGCCACCACACCTAGCCTGACCGGCTCCTTGCTGGGAAAGGGCTCTGCTGCTGGTTCATGCCTGGGGTCCTGCCACATACCTCCACTGCCCAGAACCCTCCATGTCCCACCTCTGTCAGAATAAAACTCAAAGCCAAGAGCCACGAGGTCATTTCTCAAGGGGATGTCTCAAAACTGGCCTACAGACACCCTGGCAAGCTCCCTGTGTTCTGTGGGCTTCAGGGCAAGGCAGTTTCTTAGGACAAAATGGAGGGCCTGAGGGTTTCCTCTGCCAGGGTCCGGGGATGAGTCTCCCGGGAGTCACATCTAGCACAGGTGGAGATACTGCCGTTGCGAATAGCAGAGAAACTGCGACTGACCAGTGGGGAAACTGAGTCTAGATGGACTCAGCCTTCCCCGGAGGCCTGGTCTTCCTGTCCTCACCCTTCAGCTGAGTGGCAGACCTTGCTGAGGCCCCAGGAGGCCACTCTGGGCAGCCTCACAGATGATGGGAATGGCAGTTTAACAAACTGGGAGGTTCCTGAAGGGTGAGGCTGAACGGGAAGTTACCCCCAGCTGGGGAGCCCTCTGGGGTTTGGAATGGTAGGCCAGGAGCCATCACCCTGAGGAGTTACTGAGGGCTGAGGCGTGGGGGCAAGCTGAGAGGTGAGGTGGGTGTCACACCTCTGGCCAGGGACCGAGCCACCTGAAGGGCAGGAGGCGAAGGTCTGAGGGAAGGTTCCCTGAGATGGGAGCGGCGGAGGGGGGGGGCGCTCTGAGGGCAGCCTCTCTCCCTCAGCTGAATGGCTCTGCTGTCCTGGGCCCTGCTGTGCAGCTGCTGGGGTTGCCGCGGAGAGGTGCCTGGCCACCCTTGGCAGGGAGGCGCTGCCGTGTATCTGGCTGGGGCTTCGTGTCTGACTTTGAGGAGCCCCCGCCGGGGCTGATGGAAGCCGAGGTACGAGTGCTGGACCTGAGCGTCTGCAACAGTTCCTGGCAGGGTCGGCTGAGCCCTGCCATGTTCTGCACCCGCAGCGGGGACCGCCGGCGGCGTGGCTTCTGCTCGGTACAGTGGCTTGCTGTGTGGGAAATCAGGGTCCGGTTGGACGTGGGCTACCTTTGAGGACTGAGTAGGACGAGGAATGAGGAGCCGGCGGTGAGGGGTGCCTGAAATCCACACAGGCTGTGTGCCCTGCACAAACATGCCCTGGCCTGTGTACGTAAGCATAGGAAGCACACACGGTCTCGGAACTCCGTCTCCAAAAAGCTGATTCTTCAGTGAGCGGAGACTTGCGGGAAACCTCAGCTTTTGGGGAGACGCGCCAGGGCCTGCTCCACACAGCTGTGTTGCTCAAAGCGCGCAGACCTGTCTGTGTCTAAGAGACTCCTGGGGACACAAGGCCCCAAGAGCAACAGCTAACTTCAACTTCCTTTCCACTCCAGGCAGACTCTGGGGGACCCTTGGTATGCGGGAGCCGGGCCCACGGCCTTGTCTCCTTCTCAGGCCTCTGGTGTGGTGACCCCAAGACCCCAGATGTCTACACTCAAGTGTCCGTGTTTGTGGCCTGGATATGGGATGTGGTTTGGAGAAATTCCTCCCCCGGGTGTTATGGAGTGCTCTGTGAGTGATGTTTGAATCTCAGCCTCCTACTGGGACAGAGATGAATGACAACCTGTGCCCATTGGCTCTGATCTGGAATATTCCATGGCTTGGCTGGAGAACCCTGAGAACCTGTGGTTTGGGCTGCAGGCATGTATCCGGACTGAACAGTGGTACTGAGGGCTGACTAACAAGACACATAGCTCATGGCTTAGGTGTGGTTAAGAAGGGGCCCTGACCACACCCTCACCCTCTAGGCAAGACCCTTTCACAACTCCCAGTCGTCCACTATGCCCCCTCCTGACAACACCCGCTCCCACCCTGGTGACTCCAGGGCAGCTAGTCTGTCCTGAACTGCAGACTAACCCCACTGACACACGGGAGTACGGGATACAGCGAGGACAGAATAAAAATAACAAACAAAAATGGTATCGCTCCATTCCTGGGGCCCAGTCACAGACTAGCCTGGCCTCCTATGCTAAGGTGGCCTCAGCACAGAAACTGTCTTACCAGTCACCATTCCTCTTGATTTCAAACCCTTGCTCCTGAGCCATCTTGTCCCTGTACCCCCGGGAGCCCAGCTCCCCTCCACCTGCCTCCATGCTTCCCAGGGACCCCGATCAGGTGCCACACATTTTTGGAAGCTTCCGTGGCTGGTTCCATGCCCCACCCTAGCCCACAGGCTCAGAAAGAAAAGGCAGGTGGGGCTGTTCACCATGGTGGTTTGTTTTTCCATCTTTTATTTCTTTGCTGAGGCAGAAGCCCAGGGTGGGGGATGCTGCCTAGGCTGCCTGTTAATGACACTTTTGGGGGACATTATAAGAAAGGCACAGCTAAGGACTCAAGGGAGGACGATAGAAAAGACCCTGGGAACTCCTTGCCCGCCAAACGGGCGGCTGTGCACCCTCCTATGGTCCTCTGTTCGTGGTCTAACATCTTGTCTTCCTTTTCAAGTTTTTTAGAGGTTACGTCTCATGTAGCCGAGGCTGGTCTCGAACTCACTATGCAGTCAGAGATGACCTTGAACTCCTGATCCTCCTGCCTCTATCCAGTGCTGGGATGACAGGCTCGTGCCAACATGTCTGTTGTATGTGGTGCTGGGGATGGAGCCTGGGGCCTTGTGCATGCTGGGTAAGCACTAACTACTGAATGGCAGCTCCTCATTCTTTTTGGTCTCCTGGAAGGCACATGTGGGTAATGTTCAGTAGCAGCTATCAGAGTGAAGGGTCACGCCCCAAACAGCACCTGACTGGTGTCCACCTGTTGCAGGGCCTGGTGATGAGTGCAGCTGACTGGGAAGTAGGCACTACAGGGTGACTCTGGGGTGCTCGGGGCACGGTGAGTCCGGGTGTCCACAGGCTACCCTGGGCCTGCCGTCAGCCAGGGTCCCACCCTAAGTGGAGTGAGTAAACAGGGAGGAGCCCAGTGTTTCTCTGGGTTGACCCTGACTGCCCCTGGTCTGAGGCCGGGAGGCCCCGTGTGAACAGCAGCTGAGGAGGACACACTACCATCGCCTGTGCCCTGAGACTCGACTCCAGTCTGGACAGCAGGCAGAGATCAAGGCAGGAGTCTCCGCGAAGCCGCCCTCCCTACAGCAGGTGTCTGGGGTCCTAACTTGATCCCAGTACCTGGTGATGGCACATACCAACTCTTATAAAACATCTCCCTTCAGTCCCTGTGATACGTGCTCAGGATCCTACAGGATCCGCAAGTGGTTCCAGGCCAGGTTTGGGGAATGTCCACGTGACATAAATTAGAATCTTTTCTGTGACAATAAATAAAACTGGGACGGCCTCAAATACCAGGCCCAGCTGCCGCAGCTCACAGGAAGTTCTCTTCCTCCTCTGGCGGTACTTTGGGGGTCCCTGCAGGGATGGAGGGAACGGGCCACAGTGAGCGCATGAACCGCCCCTTGGTGAACCGATGCCCAGACCCACCCGAGTCTCACCTGTGCAGATGCCCGGGTGGCGAACCCCAATGGAGCGGCCCAGGAAGCAGGTGGCCTGGCGCAGGTGACACGAGGAGATATAGGTAACGTTGTTGTTGCCACAGAGTTCCTGGCCGGGGCTGGAAGGCACCGGGCAGGGCGCGGCGCGACACACCACGCAGTGCGCGCTGCCGGTCTGGTCCACAAGGCACGACTGGGGGCGCGGGCACACCACGTGGGCGCAGGACTCTGCGGGCACCAGAGAGCGCAGGTCGGCGCTGGACGGCGTCGCCTCCCCGAGAGTCAGCTGCCCTCGGAGCGGGACTCCGCCGGAAGCCCCATTCTCGGACATAAACGCATCGCCATTCTTCAAAGCCGCCCCAGAACGGCAGCTCCAACCTGCCGAGACCCATCCCCCGGAGGACAGTCCCCACCCCGGCTCTATTAAGCCCCGCCCCAAAACGCGGACACCCTCCCCCCTCCCCTCTGTCAAGCCCCGCCCCCGGGACCTCAGCGCCACCCACTCAGTCGTCGAAGCCCGGCCCCAGTCTCGCAAGCTCCGCCCATCAGGTTGCCTGCGCGACCACACCCACGGTTCCCCTCCCAGCCCGTCCCAAGCCTGTCTCCCAGGCCGAGCCGCCTCTCCTGCGCGCCAGCACTTGTAAGGGCACGCCGGGCCCCGGACACGCCCGAGCGCTGCCGCCGTCCCGGGCTCGAGCTCCAGCTCGGAAGCGGGCGACTTCGGCATCCACCTGACCTGAGCCGCAGTCTTGCCTAGCCCTGCCCCTCCCTCCCTCAGGCCCGCCCCCCTAGCGGTGGCCACCGGCGCCGCCCCCGCAGAGCCCCGCTACCGACGGTCCCATTTGGTGCAGGTCACGCCCCTAGAGGCGAGACTCAGCCCCCAAAGCGACCCAAGGCCCGCCCCTTCCAGGCCGTGCCCTTTCGTGGGACCGTCTCTCTCCAGGCCGCGGTACTTCAGGCTCCGCCCCTGTCTGGCCACCCCTCCCGTAGGGCCCCACCCCTCCCTGGCTCCACCCCTCCCCCTGCCCTACCTTTTCCCGGACCCGCATCTCTGGGTGCCGCGGGTCCCTCCCTGGCCTCATCTCCATAGCCCCGCCCCGGGCCCCGCCCCTCCACGGCCGCGGCCCTTACTTTGGCAGCGGCCTCGGTACATAACACGCAGGTCCGGGTGCCCGCGGCAGCGCGCGGCGCGCAGCTCGCACTCGTCCCGGTAGGTGGCGCCGTCAGAGCCGCAGACCTGCAAGCCCGCGGGCAGCCCCTCGCAGTCCGGTGCGCACTCACAGCGTGGACGGCCTCCCACCATGCGGCACGCCTTGCTGGGGCCGCACTCCACTCCGTCGCAGGAATCTGGGGACACAGGACGCCCGCAGGCGGGGTTCCCTCGTGCCGCTGGAGTCCAGCAGCGCCCTAACGCACAACCGCGGAGTGCCTGTGTCTCCGGGTCCCGCTAGGACCTGCCCAAAGAGGCACGGAGGAGGGGCTCACTCCGCACACCCTCAGGCGGAGGCTCGGCTAGGCGGGGTCTTGTGCCGGGGTTTCCACCTCGCCCGCCCCAAACTCTTTATTCTGTTCTTGGGAGGCGGGGGTCTCCTGTGGCCCAGGCTGGCTTTGAACTGATCCTCCTGCCTCTAGAACCCAAGCGCTGGGATTCCCGGCCTGCAGCACTGCTCCTGGCCACGCGTCCCTTTTAGTATGTTGTCCAGCCATCATTTTACAGATGGGGAAATGGAGGCTCTGAGAACACGGGGACCCTCAAAACATCCTAGCTTGAGAACTCCATGCTAGACTCAGACGCAGCAACATCCCTCCCTCTCCTCTCTCGGCTCAGTTGCCTTGTGGCTCTGGAGACCCCAAACTCTCTGGCCTCGGTTTCCCGGTGTTCTCACATTGCAGAGTTAGCCTGGGCACCCCCACAGGGCCCACCCACCCGCGCATCTGAAACCGACCCTCTAGTCAACCTGGGAAATCAAGAACTAAAAAGGCGAATTCGCGTCCTGCGTGCCGAGGGGCATAGGAGCCTCGAGAAGGCACTCACAGGCTCTCACGCCCAGGCCATGTGTTTCTGGTTATCTAGTGCCGGCTCCTGGGCTTGGCCTGCAGATCTACAGCCCAGCCTCCTCCTGGGTAAGCTGCTTGATGGCACCCCACCCTGCTAGAGACTGACCCTAGCTCCAGTGCACTCTGCCTTCCGGGCTCCACCCAGCAAACTCCTCATCATCTCCCAATACCCTACATCTAACGCCCACTCTCTCCAAGCCCTTCCCCAGCGCTTTCTCCGGGTCCTTCCTTGTTCAGCCGCGACCACAGAGACCAGGGTGCCCTCCGATCAATGCTTCGATCAATGCTTCTTCCAAGGCAGAGGGTGTCTGGACTGTCACTCATTCTGCTCTCAGCAGGGATGGCAGGGGTGCACGCCTCAGAATAAAGTTAGATACCCCAGGTATACAGAACATGTAAAATCGGCGGTAGCCGGGGCTTCCTGTGAGGACAGCAGCCTGGGTGTCAGGCAGGATTTAAGACTAAGTTCATCTCCACTAGGTGAGGGAGGGTGCGGGCTAGGGGCTCTAGAGGAAACCAGGGGGCTTGAACCTTTGCAAGCTGCGGCCCTGGGGTGCCCGTGACTGCCCTCTGAGGCCAGGGCCTCTCCCCAGTCTGCTGTGCACCCTTACCTTTGCACGGGAGGCAGTGGACGAGGCCCAGGAACCCCAGCAGGCTGATTTTATCGCCTGGGTGAGTGAAGTTGGACCAGGCTGTGTTGATGTTGCTGGTAGAGCAGCACTCCTCCCGGCTGACATCTGTCTTCAACACCAGACTGCAGGTGGCCTCTCGGTCCTGCAGGAGCCAGCACACGCCACCTATGGGGAGGGGGAGGAGGGGGAGGGTGACTCCGAACTCCCATCACCACTCATGAATTATTCTTTTAGTTTGTGTGGTAAACTCGTAACCAACACCCAACACCCCAGGTCTAATGCTCCCTCCAACTGTGAGATGCCCGTAGCCGGCATGGTGCCCTGTCCCCGACTCAGGCAGAAGGGACAGAAAGTCACAGCTACGGTCTTGACTCTGCTCTGTGGGGAGCCCTCCTCCTCTGAGCCGCACCCCAGTGCTCCTGCCCAGCCTCCGGGCCTGAGAACTGGCGCCCTGCCCGGCCCCTTCAAATGCCAGGCACTCGGCATGTGAGGGTCTGTGGGCCTGCACTGGCTTCCCGCCTCTGCCCTCTGTCTAGACAGTGCCCAGGGCAGCCGAGCCCCCGGCCTGCAGCCCCCCCTCGCCTGGCCCGCCTCTTACTCACTCCAACTGGGGAACATTCCCTCTGCGTGAGCTCACTCCCCTGGGATGGGACGGGGGACACGGCCCTCGGGGAGGGGGCTCGGCTCCCTTGGAGGCCGCAACTCTGCGGGGCGGGCCCCGGGAAAGGCTGGGACGCAGAACCCCGGGCTTTCTTCACCCTTAAATGGGGACAGCCGCATCCCCTGTATCGGAACTCATTCGTGCTCAGGGGACGCTACTGACTGCCTTCCACAAACTGGGCTCCCACGCCTCAGCGAACACTTTTCAAAAGGGGAAACTGAGGCTAGAGCTCTCCCAGTCAGAGATGCAGGTACAGCATTCCAACAGAGACAGTCCATCTGCGGGATCCTGAAACCTCCACCTAGGCGGCATTAGCAGGTCCAGCCACCCAGAGATGTCTCTCTAAAAGAGGTGTTTCTCAAAAGGAGCCACTCACAGAGACACTTACGAGGTTCATCACCCCGAGCCTCAGTTTACCCATCCTGAAAACGGGGATGGAAAAAGTACCCACAGACTTTGGGTTCTGTGGACTCATGGGAAAGCCGGCAAACAGTAAGAGCTTAATAAATAAATGTCAGCCCTCCCTTGAGACTGGAGGGGAGGAGCGCCCCACTCGCCCACCCAGACAGAGCGCACCCCAGACATCCCCCTGCCGCATTCCGCAGGCCACGTGGGTGGCCCGCTCGCCCGCCCCTTCCGCCCAGCCCCACTCACCGGGCGCGGAATCCCCCGAGCCCATCACGGCGCTCACGGATCCCACCGCCCAGACCAGGGCTCCCCAAAGCAGCGGCCACAGTGCCCCAGGACGCATGGCGAGAGTGGGGCGGCAGCGGGGACTCAGCGAGTGCGGGCGCCTCGGCCTATAAAAGCCCAAGGCGGGCGGGGCCGGCGGCGGGCGGGGCGGGGCGCGGCGGGACGGACGTGTCCCCTAGGCGCAGGGCCCGGGCCTGCGCGGGGGTGGCCGCCGGGGACAGGCCCTGTCCCATCTGGGAACCAGACGGTTGTCTAGAAGAAGAGTCCACAGTGGGGTCAAGTCACAAACTTTGGCCCCGGGGCAGGTTCTGGGAGGTGACGAAGGTGAGCACTTCCAGGTGTGCGTACTCCTTTGGGGTCTCCACCTGGAGTGCGTCTGGAAGTCTGGACTGGGTGTGACACTGAGGCTGCCATCTGGTTTCTGTGGCCTCTGGCCTGACCTTCACAACTGGCGAACGCCCAAAGTGGCAAAGGGTGTCCCTGAGTTGCCGCAAGCGGTTTAAAGGCAAGGCTGAAGCAGGAGGATTGCTGTGAGTTCCAGACCAGCTGAGGCTTCGGAGTGCCGCAAACTAGAGTTGCAGTCAGCTTGTGGCAGAGGGCTCGCCCAGCACGCACGAGCTCCCGGATTCCGTGGGCACGATGGCGCACACCCGCCCTTCCACCTGGCAGGCAGGGAGGCTGGAGGACCACGGAGGCCAAGGTCGTTCTCAGCTACCAGAGGGAACTTCGGGCTAGCCTGGGCAACCTGAGATCCTGTCTCAAAAAGGAGTTAGAGGGTGACTCAGGAGTTAAGACTGGTTCCTGGATAAACAGGAGGACCTCAGTTCAAAACTCCAACACCCACGTAAAAGCAAGATGGCCTGTAAGCCCAGGACTGTGGGGAGTGGGGACAGGAGAGTCGCTGGGGCTTGCTGGCTGAGAGAATATTGCCAACTTCAGTGAGAGACTGTCTCAAAGGCCAAGAGGGCTAAGCAGAGCACCTCATCTCTGGTCTCGGTGAGTGCATGCATGCACAGCCAAGAGAGAAATCGTCATGCAGGGAGGCACATCCCAGAATCCCAGCCCTTAGAGGGTCACAAGTTCCAGTCCAAACTGGTCTTCCTCGGGAGTCCAGGCCAGGGAGATTCTGTCTCAAAACACTCAGGATGACTCAGCAGCCAAGCATGGTGGCGCACACCTGTAATCCCAGGACCCAGGAGGCAGAGGCAGGCGGATCTTCATGAGTTCGAGGCCACCCTGGGCTACAGAGCGAGTTCCAGGCTAGCCAGAGCTACATGGTGAATCCTGCCTTAAAACAGTCACCACAAAAAGATGGCTCAGAGGGCAAAGGTGCTTGCAGACAAGCCTGACGACCTGAGTTCAATCCCCGGGTGCAGACACTCATTGAAGATGGAGTTCTGATTCCTCAAGTTATCCTCTGACCCCTACACCTCTCTCTCTCTCTCTCTCTCTCTCTCTCTCTCTCTCTCTCTCTCTCTCTCTCTCTCTCTCACACACACACACACACACACACACACACACACACACTGGGAGACTCTTTCTCCTCTCCCTCCCAAATAGAACGCCCGTCTCTGGCATAGATAGACCATAGGTGCCATGGGGTTCCTATGGTCTCTGAGGGAAACACTGGAATAGGTCCGGGGTGTTTTGTCCTCTGGGGCCTCAAACCAAAGGGTCTCTCTTGAACCCAGAACCTCCCATCTGGGGGCCTCCAAAGTAGCTAGCTCACTCTTCCTTGAAAGGCCCTTGGGTCCTATGGAGTCCCTTGTGGATTTGGGGTAATCAGTGGACAAGCTGAGGTGTTGGACCAAAGCTAATCTAGTATTGTCCTCACCCAGCTCATGGGTTAGACAACAAAATACACAAATAAGGGCCTGGAGAGAAGCCTCAGCAGGTAAGAGCCCTGGTTGCTCTTCCAGAGAAGTGGGTTTCAGTTCCCAGCACCCACGGGGTGGCTCACAACTGTCTGTAACTCTGGCTGTAGAAGATCTGATGCCCTCTTCTGGCCTCTTCAGGTACTGTACACACATGGTGCACAGACATGGCAGGTGAAACACCCAATCATATAACGTATTTTAAAATACAGATAAATTAATCTATAGCTAGAAAATATGGGTGTGCTACAGGGAGCACTGTGTTTCCCAAGATCACCCTATTCCTGACATCTACTGCAGACCCCTCCAGACCGGACAGCGAAGCCCCGGCAGGCCACCTACAGCAGAAGCCCTCATTTTCCTCACTACGGCTGTCCAGTCCAGTGAGGGAGGATACTGACCTGGCAGTCTCCCAAGGATGCTCCTAGGTTGGGCGGGGCACGGGACCCTGTGTTCTCACCAAGAGTTTGCAGGAGGGAGTGGGGGTGGGCAGCACCGACCTTGGCCGCGGCCTGACCCCTCATACTGGGCCAGTGAGGCCTGGGCCGGGTGAATCAAAGGGCCATTGTGTAGTTGGCACAGGTTCAGGGCCCCTCTCTGTCCTGCTCCCACGTCCTGGAAACCCATGGGTTCCCCAGGGACACCCTTGGCACAGCTGTCCCAGCTCAGGCTCCTGTCCCCTGCTGCCCACTTCCTATCACTGGGCTCTGAGCGTCAGCTGTCCTAGGCTCACGCCCCATGATCTCTGCTCAACTTCCCTGGCTTCTCTCTCACCCAGACCCAGGAGCTCGGAGGAAATGACAGGGTTTCGGCCCCTCGGCCCCTGACAGCTGGACGAGCCTGGGGGGTGAAGCCACGCTTGAGATCAACAGCAGAGGTCGTGTCTGGCTGGGGAGAGATCTGTGTGTACGTGTTTGTGTGAGCGGTGACCAGAGGCCAGGGCTACACTCATGGCTCTCTGCCTTATATTTTGAAATGGGGTCTCTCAGTGACACTGAAGTCACAGTTCGGTTAGACTGGCTGGCCAGCGAGCCCCGGGATCCTCCTGTGTCTGCCTCCCCAACACTGGGTTAGGTCCACATCCCGGCTCTCAATTTTTTCTGACACACAGTCTTGTTCTGCAAGCCCAGACTCCAGGTCACTCTGCTACAACCAGGCACAAAGAAAACGTCTGTTGAGGCTTGAAAGACAGTGCTTTTGCCTCAAGGCAGACATAGCACAATGGCCTGTAGTTATCCAGGTCTCTAGCCCTAAGCCTGGGGATCTGTCTCTTTCTGTAGTTACAAGACGCTATCCAGCTGAGGACCTTCAAAGCTTGGGTGTGATGGCATGCACGCATCCATCCCAGGCTGAGGCAGGAGGATGACAAGTTCTGGCTCGCCTGAACTGCATGAAAAGACCCTAACCTGACTAAGAAACAAACAGGGCCAGTCAGGTGTGGTGGCACACACCTTAAATCTCTGTGATTTCAAGGCCAACCTGATCTACAGAGAGTGGACCAGGCCAGACAGACTACAACAAAATCCACAAAACTAAACAAACGGAACCATAGCCATAGCTCCAGAGTTTGGAGTGGCAGGGAACTGAGTTCCACCCCTGCACACCTGCCAGACTAGCACTCAGGAATCGGATGCCAATGGCTCTCCCACCCCACCCTAGGAAGACTCTGGGAGTTCAAGGTCATCCACCACTATATTTTGAGTTCAGAGACAGCCTGAGCTACAGGAGACCTGCTCCCACATTTCTGTTTTGGACTGGGCCTGGCCCACTCCTGTCTTGCTGGGTTGGAAGGCTGAGCTCAGAGCTGCAGTCCGCTCCTGCCAATGGCCAGAAGGAATCTGGCCAGGAAGAAGCAGAGCTAGTAAGGGGCCATCTGTGCCTGCTATGAACCAGAAGTCCTGGATTCAGCCATGCCTGAGCTCCTTCCTGTAAGCTGGAGTCAGTAAATTTCTGTAGCATTTCCAAAGGATTGCTTTGTATTGCATTCAAATGGAGTCTCGAGGCACAAAATGGCACCTTCATAGGACTCTAGGGAGTCTGTCTGTGCTTGTTTCTGTTTCCAGAATGTGGGTTGTGACTCTTTGCAGGACGTTCCAGGCCCCACACTCTAGAGATAAGGATTTGAGGCCTTCCCCGCCAAGGAAGAAGGAAAAGTGACGCTCAGAACCAAGGCACAGCCTGAAGGCTCCACAGGGCTCTCCCTAGATCCACACCACGCCTGGCTCCCTACAGCCAAAGGGCAAGTCCAGGTATACCCACCTAAGTTCTGGGCCCTTCTTGTTTGAATCCTCACGTCTGCCCCTTCCCATAGCAACTCTCCCCTGATTGATAAGGAACCCAATTTTAAAACAAAAGCAGGTTTATTTAAATTATCTGTATGTGTATACCATGTGCATATAGATACCTGCAGAGGCCAGAGGAGGGCGCCAGAGCTCACAGAGCAGAAGTCACAGGCCCCGTGAGCAGTTTGCTGTGAGTGTGGGAGCTGAATTCAGGTCCTCTGCAAAAGCTGTGTGCATTGTCAACCACCAAGCCATTTCTCCTGGCCAAGGGAAGCAGGCAGCCATGTCTATTACAGAGAGCAGGTCCTGTCCTTGGTGACAATGGCGAGTCCTCATTAGCTGAAATGGGTCACGGTGTCATCAATCATCCCTCTTTCTAGCCATTGGCAGCATGACCATGTGGCCCAGCCCTGGCCAAGCACAGTATGGGTGACTTCCAGGGAATGGAGCCTCCAGCCTGCATGTCTGCACCAGCGTCCAGCCTGTAGGGTCTGCACAAGCTGGCCTCCTCCTTGCCACAATAACAAAGTTGCAAAGTTTTTGTTTAATTCCTGACAGTTCTGAGGACAAATCCCACAGTCTTGCTGTACTGAAATCCAGTTTGTTGGGCTCTTAGAGTAATTTTTATTACATGTATTGTGTGTGTGTAATGGGTGTGTATGTCAAAGTGCATGTGTCTGTGATCGTCAGAAAACAACTTGCAGGAGCTGGATCCCTCTTTTCACCAGGAGGGTTCTGGATATTGAACACAGGCAGCATTTAACACAGAACCATTTTTTCTTTTCTTTTCTTTTCTTTTTTTAAAGTAGATTCAACGATCTACCCTTTTTTTAAAAAGATTTATTTATTTATTACATATACAGTGTTCTGCCTACATACCAGAAGAGGGCACCAGATTGAATTGTAGATGGTTGTGAGCCACCATGTGGTTGCTGGGAATTGAACTCAGGACCTGTGGAAGAGCAGCCAGTGCTCTTAACCTCTGAGCCATCTCTCCAGCCCCAGAACCATTTTTTCAAAAGATTTATTTATTTATTATGAATACAACATCCTGCCTCCTTGTATGTCTGCTCACCAGAAGAGGGCGCCAGATCTCATTATGGATGGTTGTGAGCCACCATGTGGTTGCTGGGAATTGAACTCAGGACCTCTGGAAGAGCAGAACACAGAACCATTTTACTGACCTTGATTTTGGCATCTTTTTGTTTTTCTAGCACTGAGGATTGAGCCCATGCAATGTATGTGCTCTTCCTCTGAGCCATGCTCTTGGCCCCTCAAGGGGGACTCTAGGCAGAGGCTCCACCCTGACCACTCCCCTAGCCCCTCACTGGGGGATTCTAGGCGGGCTCCATCCTGAGCAGCTGGACTCAAGTGTGCAGAGACTAAGTAGAGATGGGTGAGGAGTCAGAGCTACTACACCACAGACAAGGCTTCTCTCAGAGCCTTCGGTCTTTCTGGGAACTGGACACTCATCACATAGATAAGACAAGCTTAGGGAGGAAGTGTCTCTGCGCATGACTGATCAGGAACATATAGCTTGCCTCTTGGGCTAATGGGGGAGAGGCTGCCAAGCCCTTGGTCTGAAGAAGGAAGAGACTCTTGCAATGAGGTTCACAGGCCCAGGCTCTGCTCCCCACGGTAGAACTTTGGAAATTTTCCCCTGCAGGCGTCAAGGACCTAGGCAGGTGCTGGTGTCTCCCGTTGATCAGTGGGACTGGACCCTGGGGTCATCAGAAGCCTCATAAGCACTGGATATGGATGGTGCCCTCCTCCCCAATCGATTTTTTTTTTTTTTTGGTTTTTCGAGACAGGGTTTCTCTGTGGCTTTGGAGGCTGTCCTGGAACTCGCTCTGTAGATCAGGCTGGCCTCGAACTCACAGAGATCCGTCTGCCTCTGCCTCCCGAGTGCTGGGATTAAAGGCGTGCGCCACCAACGCCCGGCCTCCCCAATCGATTTTACCAGCCATAAAAATCACACAGACGAGCCGGGTTAAGAGCACTGGCAGAGGTCCTGAGTTCAATTCCCAGCAACCACATGGTGGCTCACAACCATCTGTAATGAGATCTGGTGCCCTCTCCTGGCCTGCAGACATGCAGGAAGAACACTAACAAATAAATCTTAAACACACACACACACACACACACACACACACAGACACCGGCTACCCGCGGACCCCTGCAGGCCACAGCTCCCAGGGCCGCTGGGTCCCACGTGTCCGGTCACTGGATCTCATCCTCCAGAGCAAGACTGGACAGTGGTAAGCCCAACGCAGAGGAATGAGGCTCCGGAAGGCAAGTCCGACGTGGTTCTGAGAAAGGTTAAATGCTTTGCCCAACTTCAGACAGCAATGACCTGACAGCACTGTGCACTGCTCAATAACTTTTATTAACTACCCGAGCTTCCCCGTGGAGGGTATCTCCAGTGAATGTAGTTGTGTTTAAAAGACCTGGGGCTGCGCTGCAGGACCTCCAGACTAGGTTCCATTGGTGGGGGACATGCGCCCTCTGGTGGTCAACCCGGAACGAATGGGACTCGTGGATAGAAAGACCAGTGAGCGGGTTCAGAAGCCCAACCCTGAGCAACTCCTATCCGTTCCACAAAATTCTGGTTCCAACGCACCCTCCTTGCCCCTGGAAGCCCTTCTTGTGCCGTGAGACACATCCGAGGTCAGTTTGGAATCACGTCCTCTCGCCTAACTTCATGGGGCTCGGGTGTTTGTGTGCATTTCATGGATGCTAGATGAATGTTGGGTGAATAAGAAAATAAATACGGAAACTAGCTTCAGGAGCATTCTGGGACTAGCCTAAAAGAAGACGCGGGTTTCATCCTGTCTTCAAGGGTCACACGGGGACATGGGCACCCATATCTCGGGTGTTTGTGGGACACCTGATGTGTAATTTTCCCTTCTGCTTGGCGCCTTTACAGTTTATCAGACGCACACAATGATATGGAGCAGAGCTGTGGAGACGGCGCGACAAGGCGACCCTGCAGCTGAGACTTGAACACGAGAAAGAAGGCGGCAGGCGCTGAGAAGTCTGGGGAGCCGCACACTTGGACAGGCACAGGCAGCGCGAGCAAAAACAGGGGCGAGCTCGCCTGGTTGGCCAGATGAAGGGAAGGGAGAGAAATCGGGGTGAAAGGCGGCGCCTCCGGGCCCCGCCCACCGGCCCCCTCCCGAGGCTCCCGACCGCCGGAGCGGCTGTACCCGGGGCTCTACACCCATCCTCGTTGCCTAGGAAACCCCGCCCTGCTGACTACAGCCCCTCTCCGGAGCCAGTCCCCACCTTCCAGGCTCCGCCTCAAACGCCCACCCCGGTTGCCAGGGAGACGGTCACGCCCGTCACAGACCGCGCGCTCGGGAGACCGCCTCCAGCCGGCGCCGCTGGCGCGCCCGGTTGCCATGGAGACGGGCCCGCGAGCCTGACTCCAGCGTGGCCTCAGGGTTCCGCTCCAGGCTCCCAGGCTGTTCCCAGGCTTGGTCCTGTCCCCATCCTCGTTACCAAGGAAACCCGGCCGCCCGCGCAGGCGCAGTCTGAAGACCCTCGGCTTCCCCGCGGCTTTCAGGCTACAACCTTACCCCGGTTGCCAAGGAGACAGCCGGGCTTCCACGAGGCCCCGCCCCACCCAGGCCGCCAAAGAGTCTCCTCTCCACATAGCTCCTCTGCTCGCGGGTGCCCCATCCCTGTCTTCGCCCTGCATCCAAGCCGAAAGTCGTCGTCAAGGAGACCCGCCTTCTCGGCCGTCCGGGAACTTCCGCTGTCTTCGAGCATGACTCCGCCCCTGTTCCGGTTGCCCAAGCCTCTCGGCTCCGCCCCCTCCAGATAGGCTCCGCCCCAAGATGCTCTTCGGTCTTGTTCTGTCTTGATCACTTCTTCCACACACGTCTTCCACACACCCCCGGTTGCCAAGGAGACTAGGTTCCGCGGTCTAGCCGGCAGGCCCCGCCCCTCACGCTCAGCCGGGTCCCCGGCTTCCGGCTTGTCCCAGTTTGTCCTAGTGCGGCCACCGTCCTCCAGGAGACTGCCCCCCCCCGCCCCGCAGCGCGTTGCCTCCGCGAGCCACACGCCCGACGTGCGTGCCGTGCGTGCTATGCGTGAGCGTGCGCGGGCTCGTCGGCCGGCGAGGGAGCAGCAAACGGCCGGCGGCGGGCGCCGCGCGGGGGGCGGGCGACGCGGAGGCGGCGGTGGCCATGGCCGAGGCGTCGCCGCAGCCCGGACGGTACTTTTGTCACTGCTGCTCGGTAGAGATCGTGCCTCGCCTACCGGTGAGGTCCGGACGGGAGGGCGGCGGGGCTGTGCGCGCGAGGCGGTCTGGAGGGGACACTGAGACCCGGCGGAGGGCGAGCGGCGTGGCGGGCAGGTCCGAGAACCCGGGCTGGCGGCGGAGGCCCCCCGGGGGGGACGTGGCGTTGGTCGGGGCCCCGTGGGGGTCGGAAGCTGAGCTCCACGCCGGGGACGGTCGCCGAGCGCGTGGCCAGGGCTCGGGGGCGCGCGGCGCGGCCTCGAGCGCCGCCCCGGGCCTCACAGCTGCGCCCAGAGGAGCAGCGAGGCCGACGGCGCGACCTGGAGGTCTGGGACAGTCGCACCGGAACCCCACCTGGCTGTTGCAGGTCTTGTGCTACTGCTTCGGTGTGGCTCTGGCCAACTGCACCCTCAGGGCCCCACCTGGGTTGTCCCCAAGCCTCCCGCTGCTTCCTGGTAGCTTTGGGAGGGTGTATCCCAAGGACCCCGCCGGAGTGTCCCCAAGCCTCCTGCTTCTTCCGGGTGGCTTCGGGCGTGTGTACCCCGAGGACTGTGCTTGGGTGTCCTGGGTCCCCCTGCATCGAGGTGGTTTTGGCCAGGTGCCTCCCGGGCTTCCCACACGCCTGTTGAGAGTGACTGACTTCTTGTGTCTGGTGTCTTAGGATCCCGAGGCAGCACCCTCCCGCCTGCCAGGCATCCCTTGTCTCATACCCAGGTTTGAGGCTCACTCTTGGGAGGGTTCCTTCCGGCCTGCCACTGCCTTCCCAGGCCAGGGAGGAGAAACTTGGGTGGATCCTTGGAGGTGGTACCTGGTCTGGTGTGAGCCTCACTGCCATCGCAAAGAAGGTGGTGGAGTGGTGTCTGCATCGAGCCCGGGCTGTCCAAGTGAAGCACTGGTGTCCAGAGCTGGTACAGTTTCTCCTGGTCTCTCTGCACATCACCCTCTGGGTGGTGACACTGGCCTTCTTCAGGGCAGTTTTAGCTTCAAGAACTCAGCTTGACCAGGATTGGTGGCTCTTGCTTGTAATCCCAGCACTCAGGAGGCAGGGGCAAGTGGAGTTTGAGACTAGACTGGTCAGCAGAACAAGTCCCAGGACAACCAGAGCGCCACCCGGAAAACCTGTCTAGGAAAATCAAAGCAGCAGCAACAGGAAGGTTGGAGGAAGAGTGGAATCTGGGACCCCTGGTTGTTACTGTGCTTCGTCCCTGGCTTGTCCTCAGTGTCTGGGGACTGTGCAGCCCCCTCCATCCCCCTGTGAGCTCTGGAGCAGAAGCCTGGGGGGCTGCTAGGAGGTGACCTGATGGAGGAGCACACCTCAGGGTCGCTTTTCCTCACCGGGCCAGCACAGCACCAGGTGCTGGTCCTGTGGCTTTGAACAAGGAGGACCCTGACCTCTGGCTGCCACCGTGCCTGGCAAGGCCCTCTTGAAAGTGCCAGTGACCCAGCCTGGTCTTTGCTCTTCGGGGTTTGTAGGCCAGCCAGGGAGTGACAAGGGTTTAGACAGTGGCATGGGTGGCTTGTGTACGAGCAGCTAGCGTGCCAAAGGGAGCTAGGGCAGGTCTGTGGGTTCAGTGGGATTGGCATGGTCTGCATTCCAGGATGGGCCACTCAGAGGGGACCTTGTCCGGCATGCAGTTGCAGTGACAGCTGTCACTCCAGACACCTGAGCTGGTTTCTAGAGACGCCCACTTCAGTGGTGGGGCCTTCACAGGCCCTGGGCTGCCCCGCTGCTGCTCTGGTCTGGAGTGAGACAGAGACCACTTCTCCGCTGTAGCCCTGAGCCAGGCACTGTGCCATCAGCTGTGCGGTGTGCTGCCCACCCCAGACAAGTGAGAGTACCCAGGTTTCTAACGCTGTGGCTCTCAGCCTTCCGGGCACGGTGACCCTTTAACACAGTTCTTCGTGTTGTGGTGACTCCAACGGTGCATTTCTTTCCCTTGCTACTTCATAGCTGTGCTACTGTTGTGAACTGTAGTGCAGATATCGTATATCCCACCCCCAAAGGAATCACGACCCGCAGGGTGAGAACCGCTACTCTAATGGGACATCTGTGTTGGTGCCCATGAGCCGTGGCTGCCAGGCGGTGGCAGAGCTTCAGGGTGCTGGGAAGAGAGCTTGCTTGGCTGGGAGCGTGTCAGGAAGCAGATGAGTTGGCTAGAACCAGAGGCTGTGGGCAGTGCGTGCCCAGACTTGATCCTCTGCGGGGTGTGTTTGTGGAGCCCATGTGACTAACAGGTGTGGACATAGGGTGTCGTGGGCAGACACCTGCAGCCTGGCTCCTCACTGTACACGCTCAGTGCCTGCTTGCTGCATGTGTGAACACTAGACCTAGCATGGGGTGGAGCCAGAGGGGACCTGGCTTGGGTCCTGGGCAGAGCCACTCCTACAGACGGGGTCCCAGGCACGGTGGAGGCGCTGAGCCTTCCTGGTAGGAGACCAGAGGGCATGGCCATGTGCTGAGCAAGGTGCTGCGTGCACTTGTGAGACAGGTAATGGCTGGCTGTGTCTAGGGATGTGACACGCGCGCGCAAGGCGCTGCTTCTGCAGCAGGAGCCACGGGCAGGGCGTTGGGTCTGTGGCTCCTGTGCCTCGTGCCCCATCAGTCCGGAAGCTGCTTATCCTCTGAAGACCAGGGGCTACAGGCCAGTGACACCATGGCTAAAGACGCCTGTCATCCGTCCCCCAGCCTTCCCTGTGGCACTCAGAGTGGTCCTTGAGAATTTGTTAGAGGGGTCCGTGAGCATAGGGCACCCCATGTCCTGTGGATGTCCTAAGTCTCAGGTCTCTATTGAGGTCCTCTCTGGGCAGGGTGTCACTGGGACCATTGCGACAGCTGCTCCCCGTAGCACAGTAACAGGACCAGGCAAGGCAGAAGGCCTCTGCTGGGTGACCCGTGGCACCAGCTACTGTGTAGAGGGGCGGGTACCTACTCCGGAGAGAGATTTGGCAGTGGATACCAGCGGACCCCAACTGTGTCCCCTGAGCTGCAGCCACTGAGGGTTGGCCTGATGTGGGGGTTGAGGCAGAGTGCGCCAGACCATTGGACTGCCGGTGCTGTGTGTGCCCGTGAGGGGGTCCTGGTCAGACTCTGGGTCTGCTGGCTGTCTCAGGTCAACTGAGTCATGCTGGCGTTGCCCTGGTGACTAGTGGCGTGCCCCTTCACGTGTTGATGGCACTGCGTTCAGCTGTGGAGGTGTGTCTGTAGGGGTGGTAAGCAGGCCTCATGTCAAATTGCCAAGTGGGCCACCCTCCCTACCTGTTCTGCTTTTGTCCAACAGCTTGCACAGTGCCTTTGGCCGGAGCAAGCCAGCATGGCACGTGTGGTGTGACGCTCGGTGGCCAGGCCTGTGGCCATCCTTGATTTCGGTCCCCTCTGTCAGGGAGAGGTCTTGCCTGACTACTATTGCCTCAACAGTCGATAGCTGCGGCCTCGTGGGAAGCGTGCTCTGCACGTGCTGGGGCTTTCTGTGTGTGGCAGGGTCCCCAGAGGTACCTGGGCCTCTGGGCCTGTGGATTCTGGCCCCAGAAGCACAGATGTGGTTTTCAGTTAGTCTTGGTGAAGGCGTTGCCTGGTGTTCAGGCTTTCCCTCTTGCTGCCCTACCCAGGTCCCTAGCTGTCTCTGCTCCACCATTGTGTGTCTGCAGAAGGGGCCGCAGATCCTGTCATTGTCGGGTACACACTGTGTCTTGTCTTCACTGGGACTGGGAGGTCATTGGAGAAATCCAGGCTTGGGGAGTCTTAGCAGGGTTCTGAAGTTTCTAAGACTGTTAGAGAAAGCCATTACTGTCCTCATTACCCTATGTGCCTCGGGCACAGGCTAGACAAGACTGCCACACGTGTCTTGCGATGGATAGCCATACTGACCCCTATCTCTCCCACAGGATTACATCTGCCCAAGGTGCGAGTCTGGCTTCATTGAGGAGCTTCCAGAAGAGACCAGGTAGTAATCAGGGCTGGGGGGATGCTATAACCTTGGCACCCTGCCCTGAGGACCTAACAGGGGCTTCAGCTGCAGGTGACAGGCTTTTTTTTCTCCCAGGAACACAGAAAATGGCTCTGCCCCGTCCACAGCCCCTAACGACCAGAACCGGCAGCCATTCGAAGTAAGTCAGGGTCCCTGGTCCCCAGGTCTCCCCTGTCCCACAGGAGGGCACATCCATCCCATACCTGGTGGTGCTCTTCCTAGCTCTGAAGTTGTCTCCATCTTTGGGACTCCCTCCCCCTTCGGCTGACTGGTCCATGAAAGCCTCCCTGCATCCTCTCCACAGAGTGTGGACCAGCACCTGTTCACGCTGCCGCAGGGGTACAGCCAGTTTGCTTTCGGCATCTTTGACGATAGCTTCGAGATTCCCACGTTCCCTCCTGGGACACAGGCGGATGATGGCAGGGACCCCGAGAGCCGACGGGAGAGGGAACATCAGTCTCGGCATCGGTATGGGGCCCGGCAGCCCCGTGCTCGCCTTACTGCCCGGCGGGCCACTGGCCGGCACGAAGGTGTCCCCACGCTGGAAGGGTGAGTGGGCCGGGGTAGCTGGTGAGGGCCTCAGTGCCACAGTAGGACATGGAGACACGGGAGGCCAGCACAGTTACACTGACTCCAAGTCTCCAGCCTTCCTTAAGAGCCTCACATGGCTACCTGAGGAAGCCATCTGGCCACCTGTCTCCTTAGGCAGGGCCCCAGGAGCCTGGGTCACCGACAGGAGCTGAGCACTGTGTCCCTAACTTCCTATGGAAATAGAACAGACTGTCCATGCCCTTGTTGCCATGTCCCATGGCCTCTGGCTCCCTGAGTCCCTGTGACAGTTGGCATCAATGGCTTCCTCCCACTTCCTCCCACTGGGTAGGAGGGCACATGTCTGTCACCCCAGCACTTGGGTGGTGGAGACTGAAAAGATGACGCTAGTTGAAGGCGAGCTGCCTGCCGGGGCTGCAGCAAACCTGTCTTGTCATGTGCTGACCACCGCAGGCCCCTGTGACACCATCTCTCCCACAGGATCATCCAGCAGCTCGTGAATGGTATCATCTCCCCGGCCGCTGTACCCAGCCTGGGCCTTGGTCCCTGGTGAGTAGGGGACGGGTGCCCGGCCCCTTCCACCCTGCGCCCCCTGACCCGGCCTCTCCCCCCCAGGGGCGTCCTGCACTCGAACCCAATGGACTACGCCTGGGGGGCCAACGGCCTGGACACCATCATCACACAGGTACAGCCAGCCACTCAGCATCTGTGGGGGCCAGGAGGTCAGCCTAGTAAGGCAGATGGGGTGCAGGCTCTGCCGCGCCAGAGGCCCTTGCATCCTGCCCTCAGGTAGCTCCGTGGCTGGTCCCTTCTTCCTCTTGAAGGTTGTCTGTTGTCCTAGGACAGTGGCCTGTACCAGAGCGGTGCACCTCAGATGGCCCAGAGGTTTAATAGGCCGGGTGTGTCTTGCTGGTTGCAGCCTTGCAGAGCTGGGCAGGTGGAGACTCCCGATCCCTGCCACCCCGCTGGGAACCATGTCCCCTCAGGTCACTGCTCCTCGCTGTCTTTCAGCTCCTCAATCAGTTTGAGAACACGGGTCCCCCACCTGCAGACAAGGAGAAGATTCAGGCCCTCCCTACGGTCCCTGTCACAGAGGAACACGTGGGTATGCTCACGGGGTGGCGGACAGAGCCCGCGGGGACGCCCCCTGCGGCCTGCCTGCCCTGACCCGCTCCCTCTGCAGGTTCAGGGCTGGAGTGCCCCGTGTGCAAAGACGACTACGCGCTGGGCGAGAGCGTGCGGCAGCTGCCCTGCAACCACCTGTTCCACGACAGCTGCATCGTGCCCTGGCTAGAGCAGGTGACTGCCACACTCTGAGGCAGCCCGCCCACCCCAGCCCCAGCCCCAGCCCCAGCCCCGACTAACCCTAACCTGCTTGCCTGCCAGTCAGAAACCTTGTGCTCATCCTGACCACAACCCAACACTAGTCACCACTCCCCCAACTGCCCTTCCTTCCCTGAACTCTGAGCCTGCCTTTGTCATGCCTGTCTCCAGCTGTCACCTTGACTCATTGGGACTCTTAAGAATGACCTCATGCCAGCCCTGACTTTACCCCAACCCAGATCCAGAAAAAAATTCCTGAGTCAGAGTGTGCGCTAGCATTGGCATCAGAGTTCTCTCTGACTTTGCTGCTGTGTCTGTCTGCCACCTAACCTGGACCCCAGACCTGGGCCCTAACTCAGACTCTAATTCTAACCCTGATCATGACTCTGGCCACAACCCTGATATTAACCTAGGCCCTGGGGGCTGGAGAGATGGCTCAGCAGTTGGGACCATTGGCTGCTCTTCCAGAGGTCCTGAGTTCAATTCCCAGCAACCACATGGTGGCTCACAACCATCTGTGCCCTCTTCTGGCATGCATATATAATATGCATATATGTATATATAATAAGTAAATAAATAAATCTTTAAAAAAAAACAAAACTAGGCCCTGACCCAGCCCTCTCTCTCTCTAACTCTTCTCTGTTCTCTCAAGCATGACAGCTGCCCCGTCTGCCGCAAGAGCCTCACTGGACAGAACACGGCCACCAATCCCCCAGGCCTAAGTGGGGTGGCCTTCTCCTCGTCCTCATCCTCATCCTCGTCTAGCTCACCCAGCAACGAGAATGCCACAAGCAACTCCTGAGTCCCACCTGGCCACCCATCCACCCACCCCCGGGGCTCGGTCATCCCACTCGCCCCAGGTGCCCCAGCACCGCCATGGCCTGGACTAGAGGGTGCTGCCCCATGGTGGCCGGCAGCACCTGGCGGGCCCCAGGCTGCTTCAGGCTCGGACTTGGCCATGGCTGCTCCTGTTTGGAGGCGAGCACGTGGGCCCCATGTCCCCGCAGGCGCCTCCAGTCCGTCTTTAACCTCACCCTCCAAGTGTTCAACGGCAGAAGGGTTTTTATGATTTTAAATTATTACTGCTTTGAAATAAATGGACGTTTGAGCCACGTGCGGCCATGCATGATCTGTGGAGGCAGCAGAACTGTCACCAGACCCAGCCCGCCACATGCCCTGGGAGGCCGGGCCCAGCACCCAGCCAGTGCCGGCCTCGGGACCACGAGGGTGACCAGCAGACCCAGGAACAAACCTGCTCCAGCAGACTTTTTTTTTTTTTTTTTAAGGGAAATGTGTGTTATCTGGAAAGCTATTTAAAATACACCTACTCAAAAAGCAGAGCCCATGGCTTGGCGTCTTCCTTCAGCCAGGGTGTCCATGACTGCCTGGTGGGACAGCTCTCGGGGTGGGTTTGTACTTTTGGTGAAGGCCTGGGAGCACCCAGGCCTTGGCAGTGTTCAGCAGGAGGGAATTTCAACTGTCCTCAGGGCACTTGGGTAGGAAGCCTTCCAGTGCAAGCCCGGCTTGTGGGTGGCCTTGCGGTGGGGCCTGTGACCAGGGACCTTACGGTCTCATCCACACACCACTTGCCTGCCTTTGCCGGGGGTGATGGACTCAGATCTGTAAGGCTCACCCGACGCTACGCCAGCACTGTCCCAGGGGAGCAGGTCCCCAGCCCTCCTGTTCCTGAGCGTCCATGAAGGAGACCCAGAGCACTCAGCGACAGTGACCTGCCCACTCTCCTCACATTTGGGACCTGAAGAGCCTAGAGGAACGTGTGTTTGCCTCAGCCCCGGCACTGCTGGGGTGTCAGCGGTTGACATTTGGTTGGCCTCTACTCTGCCATGGTCTGGGGCACAAGTCTTGTCTTCCTCAGGTCAGTGGTGCTGCCAGCCACATCCCACCAATGGCCTGAGAGCAGAAAGGATGCCACCTCCAGGTACCATGCAGACGGGCATTCCCCGGAGGTGCTGGCACGGCACCCGTGGCAGGGACTGCCAGGGACCGGAGTGTCCATTCTGAAAGCTGTCACACACACAGTGCAGTGTCCTGCCTGTACTGGCAACCGTGCTCACCAAGGCTTAAGACATTTATTGTTGATGGCTCTGGGACACAAGCTGACGCTGGCGGCTCCAGGCTGTGGTCCAGCTGACTCCCAGTGACTCCAGGGAACACGGGCAGTGAACTCATCCACTTCAGCCCCGCAAGTGGCGCAGCCTGTAATCCCAGCACTCGGGAGGCAGAGGCAGGCGGGTCTCTGTGAGTTCGAGGCCAGCCTGGTCTACAGAACGAGTTCCAGGACAGCCAGGGATATGTAGAGACTGTCTCAAAAAAAAGTGTCTTTTCTATGCATATGGGGAGCAGGGTATGTACACATGTGTAAGTTGCCCGCAGGGGTGGGGCTTGGATCCTCTGGAGTGGGTTATACAGGTGACTGAGTGACCTCATGGGAAAACCACATTCAGTCCCCCTGAAGGGCCAGGAAGTGCTCTTAGCTGCAGCTCCTACTCTGATCACATGGGACAATAGTCTGTGTCCACTCCCCGCCAGCCTCCCTGTCTTTACTTTCTCATCCGCCTGGTGTCCCCACCTTCAAGCCTCTCCATGCTGTGCCAAGAGCATGTCGTGCTGAACCTGGCAGTGCCCTCACCGCCAAACTAGATGGATGGGAGCTGCCAGTTTTGTGCCCCTGAGAGCTGGCCTGGCCTGTAGGGACCCTGCTATGTCTCCATGTCTGGCACACAGCAGGCGCCCACCCGGCTCGTGACATAAGGAAGGGCATGTGTGGGCCCAGGGCCTCTGCTCTGAGCCCCTTGCTGCCCAATTCCAGATTTTCCAGGCCTTCGATGCCGCCTGTGCCTCCTTAACCTCCTCCACGCCTTTCAAGACGAGACCAGCACTGGCAGGAAGTGTGTGGAGAGCTGGTGCCGCCGTGTCCGCCTGCCTTGCCGGGGAGCGCCCTGGCCGTCCAGTGCCAGGAACATAGGTCGGCCGTGGTGCCGCCAGCGTCGTGAAGCGTATGTGTTGAAGCCGTTCTCCTCGATGCGCTCCCGGAACCTACAGTCCGCAGAATAGACCCGCTGCAGTGCGGGCATGTGAGGGGCTGTCTGCCCCACCAGCCATTGCCACCCAACGACTGCCCGCCGCCCACCACTCACCGACCCGTAGAGGCGGCCTCTGCGATTCATGGCCACGTAGAAGCCTGAGTATACAGCCTTGATCACCACGGTACCCACGCGGACAGAGCGGATCTCAACAATACCTGCGGGGCAGGAAGAGGACAGTCAGGCAGCAGCCACGCTGAGCTCCCAAGCTCCATCACTGCGTCTCCAACCCCAGCTGGCATGGACCTTGGAGACCAGGACTCCACAACAAACACGGAGCTTCCCTGGATGAGGAGGACTCTGTTCACAGCCACGGAGCTCGCCAAGAACCCCTGGCGAACCAGGGCATCAGCACTGCCATGCTTGGGCACCAGCTGTATACCCTCTGCTTCATAGAGCCTACACAACCCTGGGTGGGGGTGCCAACTGTACCTACTTCCAGAAGGGAAACTAAGGCCCAGGGTTGGAAGAGCCAGCTGCAGACCCATCTGTCTGTTCCATCCTCCATGAATGGCCCTGGCAAGCCCTGTCTGAGCCTTTGCTTTCCCCCAGGAACCGGTTCCGGGAGGTGAATCCTACCACAGGCCCCTAGGCCCTCTCCAGAAGCTTGAGGCCCACGCTCAGAGCATCAGCCCCGCATTCTTCCCATCCCCTAGGGAACGAGTGCATTTGCTCCACCCCAGGGAAGGCCCTTGACGGTGGGCCATCTTGGTTAGCACTGCGTCCCCTTGGCCAGCACCCCAAGGTTAAGGAGGGAAGAACCCGTCACCTAACACCCCCATCACTGTCTAGGAGGGACCTAAATCTCAGGGATACTAAAGGGCCTCTTCAGCTGGGCCTCTTCCCCAGCCTGGGGCCACCCTGCCTGTCTATGCTACCACGGATGGACCTGCCCAGCCAGTCCCCTGTCATAGCCCTCGTCCGGTGTGGCCTAATAAGGGCCTTGGAACCCAGATGAAAGCCACTGGCATGGGCAGTGCCCTGTCACCTGCCCAGGGCTGAGCTCAAACCGTCCCAGGAACTCCTGGCAGACGCCAGCACCAGCGCAGCTGGCTGCGGCCTCCGCATCACCCCAGCTTCCTCCTCATCACCCCAGCTTCCTCCTCATCACCCCAGCTTTCTCCTCACGTCCAGACACACGCACTCACCGAAGGCTTCTGTAGGCAAGGTACGGCTCTGCCCGGACCCAGCTCCATTTCTGGTCCCTGAGCAGGACCCTGAGATTAGGGCATCCCTCTCACCCCATTTGCCAAATAGGGGTGTCTGGGAACAGCACGAATCCCCATTCGGGCAGGTAGCAATCCCCAGGAGTGGGATTCCTGCCTCCTGGCCCCACTGGACAAACTCAGCTCCTATAGGCAATCTCAGTTTGACCCTGTACGCAGACCAGTGACTCCACCCAGTCCCCCCTGCCTTGCCTGGGGGCCCACAGGAGGTGTTCCATCCCACCCTGCTGCCCGGGCACTCACTGTCCTGCCCGTGTCTCCAGCGTGTCCCCTGCACCTGGCCGCCGGGGTCCACTCGCAGGAAGAAATGGGTGGAGGAGAAGAGGCGGCGCCAGCGCACGTCGCCCTCCAGATGCGGGTATCCGCCCGCAGCACCCGGTGCCCGTGCCAGCAGCAGCCAGGCCAGGCCCAGCCAGAGGCGGCGGCGCATCCCGACCTGTGCCCGCCCGCGCGCGGTGGCCCAGCTGCACGGTCGGGGGCGGGGCTAGGGTGGCGGCTGTCCAATGGGCACGGGGGGCGGGGTCTCCGACCTGGGCACCACACACGAGGGCTCTACCGGGCCGTTTGTCCCACGGGGCGGTCGCGGTGGCCCCGAGGGTGCGGGTGCGAGAGTGGAGACAGAGATACAAGATCGAGATCGCAGAGGAACAGAAATTGAAGACAGAAAGACAAGGGATAGAGAGAAACCAGAGAGACAGGGATCTCAAAGAAGCAGAGACAAAAGGCTGTGATAGGAGACAGAGGGACAGACAGACAGAGAGAGAGAGAGGGCTGTATATGAGGTGGGAGATTATGATTTGTTTTTGGTACCATTGGTGGCGCAGGCTTTAATCCCAGCACTCGGGAGGCAGAGGCAGGAGAATCTCTGTGAGTTTGAGGCCAGCCTGGTGTACAAGAGCTAGTTCCACAGCCACAGAGAAACCCTGTCTCAAAAAACAAAAACAAAAAAACCACCACCACCACCAACAACAACAACAAAACTACAACAAAAGAGAGAGAGAGAGAGAGAGAGAGAGAGAGAGAGAGAGAGAGGGGGGGCACATGACAATGAAGGTAACCAGAAGATTTCAGCAGGTGTCACTCTGGCCAGCTGGGCTGAGTGTGCACAGGACAATGTGACTCTTTTATCTTAGAGATGCTGAGGCAGGGGCTCTGCCATGATGAATGGGCACGAAAGGGTGGGGTGAGTGGTAGACAGCGTGACAGATGTGGCCCGTGTTTGGGCAGGAGGGACAGACAGGTGTGTCACCAGCAGCAGGCACTGAGGCCAGGAGGACGCGTCTGGGTAGCAGAGTTTGGGCGGTGTGTCCACCCCCACCCCTGCTTCTCATCACACCCCGGGGACGCCCATGGCAGCACTGGTCACCCGCACCTCAGTAGCCAGTGGCTCTGAGGGTGGGTTCAGTGACCTTCAGATGCAGCCTAGGTCACTGGTGCTAGGGAACCTTGGCCCTCAATGTCAGCTGCCTCCCCCTGGCCCCAAGCAAGACCTTTAAATAGCAGCAGGGTGAGGTTCACAAACAAGTTTACCTTTTGGGGAGTCCTGTGGAAAGATAACCAGTCCTTCAGGGTGCCAGGATTCCTTCCCAGTGGCTCAGTAGATGCCGTCTCTTCCTGGACCTGAGTAGGTCACACCGGGGGTGGTGTCCAGGCTGAGATGGACCATGGTGTCTCATGCCTGGGTCCATCTGGAGCTCACACAGCACAAGGCCACGTGGCCCTGTGATGGTCCACATCTGTGTGCTTCCTCTGTGAGGAAGGTGGACAAGGGAGGGACACTAGGAAGTGTGGGCACAATGCCAGCAAACAGCGCAGCACACAGCGCCAATGCCACCGTGCCGCTGTTGTTCCGTGGCTGAGACTCCTCCCTTCTGGAATGAACACCTTGAAGCCCTTGGCCAAGCCCCTGGCCATTTTTAGATTCCCTGTATGAGAGGCCTGGATGCAGGCCTGGGGAGGTGTCTGACTTGGTTTAATAACAGCTCATTGAAATATAATTTGCATACCACATAAATCACTCATTTAAAGTATAAACTGAGTTATTAGTGCATAAGCGTTGGGCCGCCCTCACCTGTCAAACTCCAGAATGTTCTTTCTTCCCCATGAGAGTCACCCTATCCTACCAGCGGCCAGTATTCTCAAGTCCACTTCCTGTCTCTGGGTTCTCCTGTTCTGGGCACTTCCTGTCTTGGAGACCCACACTCTATGGTCTTTGGATCTGGTTCTCCTACTGAATACCATGTCCTTAAGGTCTTTTCAGGCTGTGGCATGTGTGGGAGTCTCACTCCTGTTCATGGCTGAGTAATATTCCAAGATAGGGATGGCACATAGTGTGTGTCTGTCATCTACCTGTCGAAAGTGGGCTGAAATTTCACATTCTGAACTGTTTTCAGGGTTGGTGTAGATGTGGATTTTCGTTTCTTCTGGGCACACACTCAGGAGCGGGAGTCGCTGGGTCATGTGGTAACTATGTTAGGTTAATTTCATTTGTGTCTCAGCTTGGCTTCCAACTCAAACGCTTCTGCTCCAGTCTCCCGGACGCAGGGATAACAGGTGCGCCCCACCCCACAGCAGTCTCCCGGATGTCCCACCCTACAGCAGTCTCCCGGATGTCCCACCCTACAGCAGTCCACCCTTCTTTCTTCTTGTACTTTTCCCAAAGCAGGGTCTCACTCTGCGGCTCTGCCTGTCCTAAAACTCACTCTGTAGACCAGGCTGGCCTCCAATTCACAGAGATCTGCCTGCCTCTGACTCCTGAGTGCTGGGATTAAAGGTGTGAGCTACCATGCCCAGTTCTCTCTTACTTACTCAATTTTGGGTGAACTTTTGTCTAAGGGGGAATGGTACACGTGCCACAACTCAAACAGAAGATCTCACTTTTCTTCTTCTTCTTCTTCTTTTTTTTTTTGTTTTGTTTTTTCGACACAGGATTTCTCGAAAGTATTGTTTTGGAGGCTGTCCTGGAACTCGCTCTGTAGACCAGGCTGGCCTTGAACTCACAGAGATCTGCCTGCCTCTGCCTCCCGAGTGCTGGGATTAAAGGCCAGCGGCCTATTGTCACTTCTCTACTTCTACTACATGGGGCCAGAGGACCAGGCCAGAATCTTGCTCTCTAGGTTAGCTCAGGCTAGCCCTGAACTCGGTTTCCTGAGTACAAGGAAGACAGGCAAGAGCCACCACTCTCCACAAGAAACCAGTAGGAATCTTTCCTTGGAGAGTGCTAGGGATTGAACCCAGGTCTTTTCCACATGCTAGGCTCTATCCCTAAGCCACTTTTCCAGACCCTCACTGGGGGACTCTGGGTGTGGCTCCACCCTGACCACACCCCCCTCACCAGGAGATTCTAGACCCACACACCAAGACCTCTTTTTATTTTCTTTTTTTTTTTATTTTTTTATTTTTTTGGTTTTTCGAGACAGGGTTTCTCTGTGGCTTTGGAGGCTGTCCTGGAACTCGCTCTGTAGACCAGGCTGGCCTCGAACTCACAGAGATCCGCCTGCCTCTGCCTCCCGAGTGCTGGGATTAAAGGCATGTGCCACCACTGACCACCCAGCTTGTTTTGTTTTACAAGACAGGGTTTCCTCTGTGAAATAGTCTGGCTGTCCTGGAACTCACTCTGTAGACCAGATTGTCCTTGAACTCACAGAGATTCTCCTGTCTCTCAAGTGCCTGGATTAAAGGTGTGGTCTACCCCCCCCTTCGTGTGTGTGTGTGTGTGTGTGTGTGTGTGTGTGTGTGTGTACTTCAGTCTGTCTCATTGAGACAGAGTTTTATGTGTCCTAGGCTATTGCTTTGAATTTTAATCCTCCTGCCTCCACCTCCAGAGGGTTGGGATTATAAATCCACTGCAGTATATCCTTCTCTCACCGATGAGTTCTAGACAGTAGTAGGGTTAGCACCGAAGGGGGTGGGATAAGATAAGCCATTTTTGGCAGCCCAGGCCTCCTGTCATCTCTGGAGGGCATGATACTGTCTGGAGCACAGAATTATTTCAAGATCAGCCCGGAAAACGTAACAAGACTCTGTCTCAAAATAAAATGCTCGGGCGTGATGGTGTCACCTCTAATCCCAACATAGGAAGTTTGAAGCCAGACTGGGCTCCATGAGAAAAAAAAGCGGGGGGGGGGGGTTCAGAGAATTGGGGTAGAGTGGTAGCCTAACGAGCACAAAATATTGTCACCACCAGATGAATCAGGCCTGGCACTAGAGCTCCACAGCTCCAACCTGGGAGGTGGAGACAAGGGTCAGGAGTTCAAGGTCAGCCCCCAAACTTGTTAGTTTCAGGACAGCCATACATGCACACACACACACACACACACACACACACACACACACACACACACACACACACACGGAAAAAATAAAAAACAAAATAGGGTATTTGGGAGTGGTTGTGCACGCTATAATTCCAGCACTGGAGAGGCAGAACAGACAGATAGATCTCTGTGAGTTCGAGGCCACCTGGTGTAAATATGGTGAATTCCAGGACGGTCGTGGTTACATAGTGAGATTCTTTTTTTTTTTTTTTGGTTTTTTGAGACAGGGTTTCTCTGTGGCTTTGGAGGCTGTCCTGGAACTCACTTGGTAGTCCAGGCTGGTCTCGAACTCACAGAGATCCGCCTGCCTCTGCCTCCCGAGTGCTGGGATTAAAGGCGTGCGCCACCAACGCCCGGCGGGAGATTCTATTTTTAAATAAAAAAATATATAAGTATATGTAGACATGCAGATATAAGACAGAAACACCAAATAAAACAGAAGTCAAGTAATCAAAGAATAAGAAAGTAAATAACAAGCTGGGCGGGGGTGGCACAGTCGGGAGGCAGAAACGGGCGCATCTCTGTGAGTTAGAGGTCAGCCTGGTCTACAAAGCAACACAAGGAAACCCTGACTCGAAAAACCAAAAAATAAAGAAAAACCCAAAAGCCAGGATTTCTGCACATGCTCTCTTGCCGCACTTCCTCCTGGGAGTTGTAGTTCTACCTCGGCGCCTGTCGCAGGGCCGACCCTACTTTTCCTTCCGGCAGTCGCAGAACTACAACTCCCGGCTGGCGGCGCGCGCGCGTGCGCAGCGCGGGCAGCGGGCGGCATGTCGGCGCTACGCTGGACCCGAGGCGCAGCGGGGTTCGGCCGGGCGTTGAGCTCCTCGGGGCGCCGCCGCCCGACCTCGGAGGAAGGTAAGTCAGAGTTGGACTCGAGGCTGTGAATTTTCGCCTCCTCGCGGTCCGGTCACCCGCAACCTTTGCCCTGTTAGCTCGGGCACTGGTTGGCACCCCCTCTCTGGGGGGATCTGCAGGGCACTTTGGCTTCTGAGTCTTGCTCGCTTGTGTGCGCTAACCCGTTGTTGGGGACTAACGGGTCCTGACTTTGACCTTTGCGGCTGCTTGTAGTTCCGAGCCCGCTTGCCAGGCCCGCACCGCTGCTCCCGGAGGCCTGCTATGCCCGCGAGCTTGCCCGCGTTTGCCCGGGCCTTGGTTTATGTGGGGTGCGGTGGGGTTTTGAGACGTGGTTCTTCCGTGTGGCTCACGCTGGACGTTGGATTCGAACTCATGCTCTACACATCCCTGGCTGTCCTGCCATTTTCTCTCCGAGCATGAGGAAAGTTTGAGGCCGGCCCTCGCACTAGCGTCGGCTGGCCTGGAGCCCACGATGCAGCTCGGGCTGGACTCCAGCGGGAGCCCCTGCTCCCTTGGCGCCCGAGTGCGGGGTGGTGAGTGTGCGTACCAAGGTGCCCACTTGAGTCTCCCGCCTTTGCCTCTCAGGGACCCTCAGTGGCCTCTGTAGCTCAAGAAGGAGCTCCGCCGCAAGTCCCCGCGAGCAGGATGTCCAGAAGGAGTGGGGCCACGCCGAACTGCTGGAAGGTGAGCGGGCGTGGTCGCAGGCCCGGCCACACCCCTGTGCGGGGCTCACACCCTCGCCCCTTACAGCGAAGCCCTGAGGGAGTGGGCTCCTCACTGTGCCTGGCCACACCAAGACAGTGTGTCCGATGTGGTCCAGAGACCACCGGGCAGGCGGGAATGTCCTGTGCTGGCCTGGAGGGTCCCCTTGTGTGCTGGGTTGGTCGGGGAGCTGTGGTATTCATGCCCTGGGTCCCTGGGTCCCACCCGGGACTCTCACTTCCAGGAAGACTTGAACAGATCCCCAAGGGACATTGGTCGGAATGGCCTTCGGCTGAGGTAGAGACTCTTGTACCGTTCAGGTTGAACTGGAACCCAGTGTTTTTGTTTATTTTTCGACACAGGGTTTCTCTGTGTAGCCTTGACTGCCCTGGCTGTCCTCAACTCTGTAGACCAGGCTGGCCTCAACTCAGACCCGCCTGCCTCTGCCTCCTGAGAGCTGGGATTAAGGGTGTGTGCCGCCACCGCCACCCGGCTTTGGAATCCAGTTCTGGAGGGCAGGATGCCCCAGGTCACTGTACAGGCTCCCCGCAAGCCTGCAGAAGGTGTTTAAGCGGACAGTGACACACACGTGAAAACAGTGCATAGTGTGTGCCTGCTCTGCCATCGGCAACAGCAGGTTCCTGTCTCGTGTAAGCTGGGATCTGTCACGTCACCTGGCCGAGGAGGGTGCTGGGAACTAAGCAGGTGGTGTGGTGTGTGTCTGCTCGCGGGGGGTGGGGTGGGGGGGGCTCTTTCTGTCATGAGCAGGAGCACTCCTGACAAATCAGATACTCCCGACCCGTCAGATACTCCCGACACATCAGATACTCCTGACCGGTCAGATACTCCCGACACATCAGATACTCCTGACCGGTCAGATACTCCCGACCCGTCAGATACTCCCGACACATCAGATACTCCTGCCCAGCCTTTGTACCCTCCTGTCTCTTGCGTCCCTGCAGGGGGCGGTCAGCCCCGCACTCCTGCCTGTTTTCCTCTGCAGGCCTCACACGGATGCCCGTGTTTCTCACCCAGAACTCTTTCCTCTCCCATCTACCCCTACTACTCCCAACTTTTCTTCTTTTTGACCTTGGGCCGGGAACCGGGAACTGGAGTTCTGGGGGTGGCAGGCAACCAGCTGGTCCTAGGGACACCTGTATTGTGGGCCTGTGGATGAGCCCGCGGTGTTTCAGTGCTCAGTGCTAACCGTGGCTCTAGTTGTATGCTGTGTTTCCGGCCAGGCTTTGGCATTTTTGTGCACTCACTTGGTCACCGGAAAGCTGTGTGGCAGGGGCCCTCTGTGTAGCTGTAGTACCATTTGGCAAAAATGTGAGCATTTGATCAATTCACTTGGCACCGAGCCAGGGATGTTTGCCATGTCACTACCCAGGTGTGTCAAGTGCACGCCTAAATGTGCGGGCAGTGCCAGCATGTGCTGAGCCCTGAGTTGGGATCCCTGAAGGCTGGGAGATGTGAAGGAGGGAGAGAAGCGGGCTGTGCTGAGCAGGAGGCTCGCAGGCGGAGCCAAGGGCACGACCACCAGGAGAAAGTCTGAGGCGACCGTGGGTCTAGGCTCAGCATCCTCAGGTGCGGGAGCGGGTCCCAAGTCCTTCTCTGCTCTCTCTCTCTCTGCAGTGCTGGAGGCTCGGGTGCGGCAGCTGCGGGCGGAGAGCATGTCTGAGGTCATGGTGAAGAAGGTGCCCCCCCCAAAGGGCGACAGCAGCCGCTGGACCCAGAAACTGGAGGCCGAGAGAGAGGTGCACCGGAAGCGCCAGGAGCGGTTTATTGACCAGCAGCAGCAGGTCCTGACATTGCAGATGGAACCCCGGATCTGGAGCAAGAAGCTGGCTGGCTGCTTGCAGCAGAGCCAAAAGGGGGCGCCCCGGAGCCAGGGGGAGGAGGAGCAGCGGCTGGCCCAGGCCCTGAAGGCCGCGCTGCCAAAGCTAAGTCCCAGCACCCTGGCGGAGACGAAGGCCACAGCTGTGGAGGCCAGCATCTTGCTTCTCCAGCAGAAGTTTCTGGCTTTCTTTGAGTGCTGTGCCATAACTGACAACATGCCCCTGGCCCACCACGTGCTGGTCACTCAGCACAACAAGTGTGACAAGCAGCAGCTGCTCACACTGGACATGTACAACACGGTGATGCTCGGCTGGGCCCGCAAGGTAAGCCAGGACTCTTCCCATGGAAGCCGACCGGAAGCACACCGGAAGAGCTGGATGGCGGTGGTGCACGCCTTTAATCCAATCCTGGCAATCACAAGCAGAGGCAGGCAGATCTCAAGGCCAGCCTGGGCTACAAAGTAAAAACCCTGTTCCCCACCCCCACTAAAACCAAAGAGACTGAGAAGGCCCGTGTGTGGTGGTTCTATGTGGGGCTTGTGAGCCTCCTAAGCAGGGGCTGTCCCTGCTGTCCCAGAGGCCCCTGAACCTTGGGGGCACATTTAGTGCTTCTGGGTGGGGAGCTTGATCTTTTTTGTAAATTCCCTAGGTGAAAATGGAGTGCTCTGAGAGGTCTGCTTACAGCTGGGCGTTGGTGGCACAGCCTTTAATCCCAGCACTTGGGAGGCAGAGGCAGGCGGATCTCTGTGAGTTCGAGACCAGCCTGGTCTACAAGAGCGAGTTCCAGGACAGCCTCCAAAAGCCACAGAGAAACCCTGTCTCTAAAAACAAAAAACAAACAAAAAGAGAGAGAGAGGTCTGCTTGCTTCTTCCTGGGTACCTTAACGGGGTAGGAGAATGTGAGTCTAGGAGTTCAAAACCAGCCTGAGAAATCCAAATACAGCAAGATATTTTCTCTTCTTTTCTCTTCCTTTTTTTCTCTCCCTCCCTCTCCTCCCCAGACCCCACCTCTTTCTTCAGGGTTTCTTTATATAAGCTCCACAGCCCTGTCTGTCCTAGAACTGCTCCGTAGACCAGTCTGGCCTCGAACTCACAGAGATCTGCTTGCCTCTACCTCCCTGGTGCTGGGATTAAAGGCGTGTGCCACTATACCTGACCTTATTTTATTTTTTATTTATTATGTAAATCGTGTTCTGCCAGCATGTCTGCCTGCAGACCAGTAGAGGACACCAGACCTCCTTACAGATGGTTGTGCGCCACCACGTGGTTGCTGGGACTTGAACTCAGGACCTCTGGAAGAGCAGCCAGTGTTCTTCACCTCTGGCCTTCTCTCCAGCCCCGACCCTATTTTTTTTTAATAATTTATTTTTATTTTATGTGCATTGGTGTGTTGCCTGGGTGTATGTCTGTGAGGCATCAGAAGCCCTGGAACTTGAGTCCAGGCATGTGTGAGCTGCTATGTGGGTGTTGGGAATTGAACCTGGGTCCTCTGGAAGAAGTTGCTGAGCCTATTTCAAAGATAGAAAAACAAAACAAAAATGAGAAAAGAAAGGTAAGACAGATGGGAGGCAGAGGCTCTGGGCTCAAAGCCAGCCTTATCTACATAGTTCCAGACTAGCCAGCAAACAACAACAACAAACAAGCCAGCCATAAAACACACCCAGGAGCTCGGTGGTGGCGCGCATGCCTGGCCTGCATGAGCTCCTAGGCTGAGTGCCCAGTGATGCCGCATTCCTCAGAAGGACACCTGTGGTCCACCTGCTGCCACCCTCAAGACACTGACATGAAGGGCGGGTTTCAGGGAGCACAGAGAAGGGGGCCCAGGTTCTGTTCCTGGTCCTCACTGCCACCTCCCCCATGTCCCCAGGGCTCCTTCAAGGAGCTGGTGTATGTGTTCATCATGCTGAAGGACGCTGGCCTCTCCCCAAACCTGTGGTCCTACGCAGCTGCACTCCAGTGCATGGGACGCAGGGACCAGGGTGTCCACATCATCCAGAGGTGGGTCAGGGATGTGCTGGGGAGGCCCCGTGCCCTTGGAGCAAGCCAGCCGCTCGAGTGCTGAGCTTGCACCGCGCCCTCCCCCCCCATTGCCTCAGGTGTCTGAAGCAGATGACGGAAGAAGGGTTCCAGCCCCAGCAGCTCTTCAGTGACCTGGTCCTGACAGAGGAGGAGAGGGACGCTCTGCTGAGAGCACTGGTCAAGGCTGAGCCCGCCTTCCGAGTGCCGCCACAGGCCCCAGACCCTGTCAACACATCCACGCTGCTCAAGGAGATCTATGCCAGGGTGAGGCCCGAGGATGGAGCCGCCACGACAGCCCCGTTTTCTTCCCTGCTTGTGTCGGGACTGACCTGCAGGCGCAGGCTCGGTAGGGGCCTTCGCAGGCCGCCACCCTCAACTTGGCTCCCTCTGGATTCTCCTGTCCTGGACATGTCCTGCCGTGGAGCTTCCTACTGTGTGGTCTATGTTGGAGCCTTGCCCCTACTTATGGCTCAGTAGTGTTCCCGGGTGTCTAGGGTATCCCGGGTGTCCGTCTGTATATGGATTCGGGGCTGTTCCTCCTGTGTCTGTGTCTGTCCCGGCTGTTGAGTACACGTGTTTTTAGTTCCTGGTTCTTCGGGTTTTAGTGACAAGTGTTTGGCAGAGGCGGTGAGGGGACTTCTTGCCTGAGCAGGGTGGTCTGTCTCCCCATGCGCCTGCTTCACTGCCCGCCTGTGCCCAGCAGGAGGGTCCCCAGTCCTACCCGAAGTTGCACCTGCCCCTGGAGACCCTGCAGGACCTCTTTCACCAGCAGCTGCAAGTGGAGCTGAGCCCCAGCGTCTGTGTCCAGTCAGTGGAGAAGGCCCCAGTATTGACCAAGGAGGTCCTTGAGGCGGTAAGGGCCTCACCCTGAGGCCATCACACCTGTCGTGGCCGGGAGGGCTCGGAGCTCGGACCCCAGTTCAGGTCCTGGGAGGTCTTGGCAGGGGAGCTCCAAGCTCAGGGTGGTGACAGCTGCTCTCCACAGCGGCAGACGCTGAAGGCGCTGCAGGGCCAATGGGAGGTGGAGCTGCTGCGGGTGCTGCGCCACACCAAGGCCACCATGGCCTACCAGGCGCGGGAAGGCCAGCCGACCCTCTACCCGTTCCTGTGCCTGCTGAGTGAAGAGGAGTTCGTGAGCATGCTGATGCAGGTGGGCTGGGGCGGGGGCTCCCGGTCAGGGGGCACAGGGCTGCGTCCAGGCAGCCACAGCTCGGCCTTGTCGCATCCAGGCTCTGCGGCTGCTGCCGGCACAGGGTGAGCCTCTCCTCCACCTGGCCCATGACCTGGGCCTTCGTGTCTTAAATCGACATTTGGTGAAGAAGAAGCAGGAAACCAACCATGTGCAGAAGCTGGGGCAGCATTACTCACAGTACCTCCGGCTGCTGGCTTCCGACACGCAGGTGACGTGCGGCAGACTTCCTGCTGACCCGGGTACCTCCCTTGGAGACACCCCTTCTCTGTGGGATCCACACCACCTACTTCCCCGTCACACTGCTTGGGCACCCTCTCCCCAACTGTGCCTCGGCCCCCCCATCTGGATAATGTGGGCAGCCCCGGCCCTCCTGACCAGCCCTCCCCACAGGTGGAGGCGCCCTGCTTCCCTCGGGAGTACTGGGAATCGCTGGGCCCATTGGAGACCCCAAAGCAGCATCCCTGGTCCGTGGCGGTGGTGCTACACCTGGGCAAGCAGCTGGCCGAGATGTTGGTGCAGGCAGCGCGGATGCCACGCAATCTGGCCGCCCCACAGGCATCGTGTCACCCCATCCCGGTGCTGTACCACGTGTACTCCTTCCGAAGCTACCGCCAGGTGAGCGCGGCTCCACAGGGCCGGTACCAGGGTGGCTCTCTCCTCCAGTGAGGACCTGGGAGGGGCCTGAGGACACTGGGCAACCTGGCTGTGTCATTCTGTGGGCTGTGGGGCTCTGACAACTGTGGACAGCACTGCTCTGCCATCCCTGTCTGTGCTGGGGTGTGTGTGCGCGCGCGCGCGCGTGTGTGTGTGTGTGTGTGTGTGTGTGTGTGTGTGCGCGCGCGCGCGCGTGTGTGTGCGCGTGCGTGTGTGTGTGTCTGTGTGTGTCTGTGTGTGCGTGTGTGTGTCTGTGTGTGTGTGTGTGCGTGTGTGTGTCTGTGTGTGTATGTGTCTGTGTGTGCGTGTGTGTCTGTGTGTGTGTGTGCGTGTGTGTGTGTGTGTCTGTGTGTGTGTCTGTGTGTGCGTGTGTGTGTGTCTGTGTGTGTCTCTGTGTGTGTGTGTGTGCGTGTGTGTGTGTCTGTGTGTGTCTCTGTGTGTCTGTGTGTGTCTCTGTGTGTGTGTGTGTCTGTGTGTGTGTGTCTGTGTCTGTGTGTGTGTGTCTGTGTGTGTGTGTGTGCGTGTGTGTGTGCGCGTGTGTGTGTGTGCGCGCGTGTGTGTGTGTCTGTGTGTCTGTGTGTGTGTGTTGGCAGACAGTGCTGGTGCTTAGCCCCCCGTGCCTGCCGCCTCCTCCAGATCGGCATCCTCAAGCCTCACCCAGCCTTCTCCCAGCTGCTGGAGACGGCAGCGGAATCCACACTGACCTTCGAGACCACAGAAGTGCCTATGTTGTGTCCGCCGTTGCCCTGGACGTCATCGCACACCGGGGCCTACCTGTTGACCCCCACCAAGCTGATGCGCGCCACAGAGGGGGTCACACAGCACCAGCATCTCCTGGAGCGCTGTGCTCCCACCCAACTACACGGCGCCCTGGACACGCTCACTCAGCTGGGGAACTGCGCCTGGCGTGTCAACGGGCGCCTGCTGGACTTGGTGCTGCAGATCTTCAGGGACAAGGGTTGTTCGCGCCTGGGCGTTCCTCCTCCACGCTCAGAGGCGCCACAGCCGGCTCAGCAGCGCCCTCCACCCGGAGCCACACCTGTGCACAAGGCGGAGCTTCGGAAGGAGCTGTCCCGCTGCCTCAAAGCTGCTCGGGAGATGCACAGCCTGCGCATCGAAGCCTTGTACCGCCTGTCGCTGGCGCAGTACCTGCGGAACCGTGTCTTTTGGCTGCCACACAACATGGACTTCCGCGGCCGCACCTACCCCTGCCCACCGCACTTCAACCACCTGGGTGGTGACCTGGTGCGCGCCCTGCTCGAGTTTGCCCAGGGCCGGCCGCTGGGGCCACGCGGCCTCGACTGGCTGAAGATCCACCTGGTCAACCTGACTGGCCTCAAGAAGCGTGACTCGCTGCGCATGCGCCTGGCTTTCGCAGATGAGGTCATGGAAGAGATCTTGGACTCCGCAGACAACCCCCTGACGGTGGGGAATCTCGTGCTCTTCCTGGCCTCCCCTTTCCCTCCCAGCCTGTGGTCTGCCCTGCTCTGGCCTGGGCCACCTCCCTCAGATGCTCACAGCCCGACCCAGCTTTCCCCATCCCTGCTGTCCACAGTAGAGCCTGCCCTCCTCACCCCCCTGCACACGCTTGCCTGGTGTCCCTGGAGCTGCTTTTGCTGACTGGCCCTGTGGGCCCTACATTCCACAGGGCCGGAAGTGGTGGATGGATGCTGATGAGCCCTGGCAGACCCTGGCCTGCTGCATGGAGGTGGCACAAGCAGTCCGGTCCCCAGATCCGGCTGCCTATGTCTCCCACCTGCCGGTTCACCAGGTGAGCGGGAGTGGACTGCCCACGGGGGCTGGGCACAAGGAACTGTCCCTTTCGGTGGGGTCTGCGGCTTGGCTCTGTGAGGGAGGTGTGTCCCCAGTCTGCTTAGGACAAGCAGGACGTCTTTTACCTGGAGCTGGCGTGACACGTGTATCTATCATTTTGTATGGCATTGTATTGGGTGGCTCGGCCTCGGCTCACGGGTGCCCCTTGTGGCTAGGATGGTTCCTGCAATGGCTTGCAGCATTACGCCGCCCTGGGCCGGGACAGCGCAGGGGCCGCCTCAGTCAACCTAATGCCCTCGGACCTGCCCCAAGATGTGTACAGGGAGGTGGCAGCACAGGTGGGTGCCGGGGCTCCTTTCCTGTCCCTGCTCGGTTGCTTTCTTCCAAATGCCTAGGTGGGGTCCCTAGTGGGGAGGTGACATGACTGGGCTTCCCTGACTCCATCCAGGTGGAGCAGCTCCGCCAGCAGGACGCCGACCAGGGCCTCCGGGTGGCCCAGGTGCTGAAGGGCTTCATTACCCGTAAGGTGGTGAAGCAGACCGTGATGACCGTGGTGTATGGGGTCACGCGCTACGGTGGGCGCCTGCAGATAGAGAAGCGTCTGCGCGAACTCAGCAACTTTCCCCAGGTGTGCAGCCTGCTGGGTCCCCACCAGGGAGCACCGGACCCTGAGGCTGGTTCTTCTGAACAGCGCTGGTCCTGTAAAGCCCGGCTTCTGGGGCAAGGAGAGGGGCAACCCGCTAGTCCTGCCCACCTGCCGTTCACACCCACGCCCCGCCCCCACAGGAGTTTGTCTGGGAAGCCTCACACTACCTCGTGCGCCTGGTCTTCAAAAGCCTACAGGAGATGTTCTCCAGCACCCGGGCCATCCAGGTGCGTCCCACCTGCCCTCTCCCGTGGGGAGTACCCCTTCACCCCTTCACCCCGGGGCTTGCTCATCCAACCGGGTGTATTGTCAAATCCACAGCACTGGCTGACCGAGAGTGCCAATCTCATCTCCCACACGGGCTGGCCTGTGGAGTGGGTCACACCCCTGGGCATCCCCATCATACAGCCCTATCACCGTGAGGCCAAGATCCAGGTACTTGGAAAGAGCCTTCCTCCCCTTTCCCTCCTCTCCCCTCCTCCTGCCCCGAGCAGGACTCACCTACGCCCACCCCGGCCTGCAGGTAAAAGGTGGCATCCAGAGTATCACCTTAACCAGCTCCATGGACTTCAGCCAGTGAGTGCCGCGCTGCGGGGAGGGGAGGGGAAGGAAGGAGGGGAGGGGAGGGCGGCAGCTCTAGCTCTTGTGAGTCCACAGGAAGCCCAACACTTTGAAGCAGAAGAATGGCTTCCCGCCCAACTTCATCCACTCCCTGGACTCCTCCCATATGATGCTGACTGCCCTGCACTGCTACAGGTGCGTCCCTGGGGGCCGCAGGCACTCGCCAGGTAGACTCCGGGCTACAGGCACTCAGCCTGTGATGTTTAGCTGCCTGGGGCGTGCCGGCTCTGCTCTGCTTACTGGGGATGATGACATGGGGTAGGACAGAGATGTGAGGTTGAGTGTGGTGGGCAGCTCTCCGTGAAGGGCAGGATGGGATGGAGGCGCTGCTGTGAAGTTGCAGGGACCCCAGGAGACTCCGCATTGTGTGCCCAGGTAGCCGAGCAGCAGGTCCTTGGCACAGACCTGCCACTGGCCTGAGCTGGGATGCACTACCCTGAGACACTTGAGTGTGTACTGCTTAGACCCTTGGGGAGCCTGGGGTGCCGGGAGCCAGCATAGGCAAGTGCCAGGGCCGTAGCCGGAAGCAGCCGCCTCACTTGGATCTCCCTGACCAGGAAAGGCCTGACCTTCGTCTCTGTGCACGACTGCTTCTGGACCCACGCCGCGGACATCCCGGTGATGAATGAGGTATTTCCAGCGCCCCCTCCCCCCGTGAAGACCGTGAAGATGGGGCTTCCGTCCCAGGAGTCTGTACCATGGCTGACTCAGCTGCCACCCCTCAGGTGTGCCGTGAGCAGTTCGTGCGCCTGCATAGCCAGCCCATCCTAGAAGACCTGGCTAAGTTCCTGGAGAAGCGCTTCTGCTCTGTCTCCAGGTCCCTGAAGCCCTCAGAACGTGCCCTGATCACCCAGCTGCAGAAGACACTACAGTCCTTGCCACAGACCGGTAAGGGCTTTGAAGGGGGCGTGTGCCCTGGCGCGCCCTTGACCAAGCCTTAGCTCCATGCTCTCTTTGGCCCGGCAGGTACCTTCGATCTGAGGCAGGTGATGAAATCCACCTACTTCTTCAGTTGACCCATCCTGTTCTGTCCCTAGACCTGTGCATAGTGTAAATAAACGAAAGCTTATCCACTTATGCCGGCTGCCACGTTCTCACGGCGCGCAAACCCACCAAGCAATCAAGACGCGGCGCTGGGCGCCAATGCTGTCGTTTATTGCGCGGAATGGGGTGTGGGTTAATGGGGCGTGGGGGCCGCTGCTGCCTCGGCTGTCAGTACATTCATGGCGACGGCGGGGACCCAGCCTCGCCCCCACGCCGGCTTGGCCGTGAAGCCCGCCCCAGGGAGGTCACTCAAACGTGTGGGCAGGGGCCGGGCTGGTTATTGCGTGAGCTTGCCGGACTGGGGCAGCGGGAAGCCGGCGGGCCGAGTATTGCACTTGATCCATATTTCTTCTCGGCGGCCACCGCGGGTGCGGAGCACAGCCAGGTCCTCGGCCAGGGCCGCCCCGTCCCCGTCCCAGTTTGGGGCTGAGGCACCGAGGTGATCGCGCCCTTCCCTTTCCCGTGCGCGGCCGCCGCTGGGGCAGGGGCGATGGGGGTGGGCGCAGGGCGATGGGGAGGACAGCCGGGCGCAGGGCCGCCCGCCGCCTAAGCTACCTACGTCCCTCTATGGCTTCTGCACGGGTGCGGGCGGGCGGCGCGAGGCATGGCTTTGGTGTGGATGACGGCCCCGCCCGGCCCGCGGGGCGGCGCGCAAGGGTCACAAGTTGGAAGAGAGGCGCGAGCGCGCAGAGTCCAGAGGGTCCAGGCCACCGGCAGCGCCGGGCGAGGCTGAGTCCCTGCGGTCCGGGCTGGGAGCGGCGGTCCGGGCGGTGGGCGCGGGTCCCAGGCGCGGCGTGGAGCTGCTGGCCGGGCGCGTGGAGGCCGCAGGGCCGGGCGTGGGCGCGCCGTGGGGCAGCGAGGGCTGCGAGGCGGACAGCGGGCGCGAGGCGCGGCTCAGACGACGCGCGGGCAGTGCTGGCCCCACGCGCGTGGCTGGAGAGCCGGGTGCACCGTAGGGCGAGGTCCGCGGTGCCCGGGGGCTGGAGGGCGCGGCCGGGGGGCTGGCGGCTGGTGGCCCCGGCGAGGCTGCCAGAGGTGGAGGCCCTGGGGGTGTGCGGCGCACGAGGCGTGGGGAGCCGAGAGCCAGGGGCCCCACGAGCGGGCGCGCCACCTGCGGACAGAAGCTCATGGCCACAGCCTGCTGCAGCGTGGCGATGGCTGAGGTGACCTGCGGCGGCGGTGGCGGTGGGAAGAGCCCCACGCGCTGGCCCAGCTCTGCTTGCTGCACCATCTCTCGGTCGTACTTGACGATCTCCTGGATGATGGCGTTCTCCTGGTTGTTGAACACGCCCGAGCTCAGGTCATGCTGGACTTTGTGCAGCAAGATGGAGTTCTTCTTGCCTGTGAGCAAAGTGGGGGTTAGCGCTAGCCTGTGTAGCGTCCTTGTCATGTGCAGGTGTGTGTGAGCACGTGCTCGTGCCCTCTGACCCACCCTGGCCCACGCGATTCTAGCCACTGTCTTGTCATCGGCCCTACATGCCTGACACAGCCTTCTCCTAGATGTTGCCAACAGACCTAGACTATTCCACATTCCTAATGTGCCCGGTTTATTGAGCTGGAGCTGTTCCCACCAGGCCCTCTGTTTCTGGCCCTTCAGACCTCCATTTTACCTCAGGGCCTTTGCTGCTACTTTCCCTCCAGAAAGACACCTCCCCCGTGTCACCTGGACACTCCTCAGCACCCTGTCCCGTCTGGAAGCTCACCGATGCGGTCAAGGCGGTCAATGGCCACAGTCTCGAAGGCACGCCGCATCATGGGGTACTCCTCCAGCACCTCGTTGAAATTATCTACGCTCAGCGAGTAGAGGCGGCAGTAGGTGTCAGCCCGCACACTGGCCGTGCGCCGGCCCCTTGTGAGCAAGCAGATCTCTGCAAAGCCAAGAGAGCGGCCTCAGTGGTTGCGCGGGCACAGCTGCCCACCCGCTGCTGGCACAAGCCCTCCCAGGAGCTCTGCCTTGCTGTGGGGTGCTCACCCCCAAAATAGGAGCCGTCTGACAGCTTCATCTCCTTGTTGCCCTTGGTGAGCACGCTCACCACCCCGTGCTGGATGAAGTACATCTTCTTGCCGATGGTCCCCTCTCGGATGATGTAATCGCCCGGCTGGAAGACCTCGAACTTGAGTTTCGTCAGCATGGCTGTGACGAAGTTGGGGTCTGCGTTGGCAAACAGTGGCATGGAAGCCACCAGCTTCCGGCAGTTGAAGTTCACAATCTCCTGTGGGCGGCAGGGAGGGTGACTGTCTCCCTCGGCTCCCACCCGACTTCCTAGGCGGACACTGGGGGCAGGGGCAGGAGACGGCTCGAGGTGTACAGGAAAGTCCCAACTACCCACACCACCATGGAGTGGGCGACACTGGACTGGGAGAGTGAAGTGGGGTCTCTTTGTAGGTAACAGGTCCACAAATACCCAAAGGATCAAAGGAGGGGCGGAGCTCAGTGGGCGGAGCTCTCTCCTGGCATCCAGTCCCTGCGATCAACCCCAGCATGGCATAAGCATGGAGGCCTGGAGGTAGAGGAGAATCAGGAGTTCAAGGCCAGCCTCACCTACATAGTGAGTTCTAGGACAACCTGGGCTACATGACCCTGTCTCATAAAAAACAAAGAGCTGGGGGGCAGAGGCAGGCGGATTTCTGCGAACTAGAAGCCAGCCTGGTCTACACGGCGAGTTCCAGGACAGCTAGGGCTACACAGAGAAACCCTATCTCAAAAACAAAAAACAAAAACCAAACTTCTGGAGGAAAAGGAAGCCACACCACACGCATCATCGGGCCTTTAGCTACAGATGAGACGTAATCCAGCCGGGATGCTTGAGGCTTGCGCTTTGTATGCAGCTGGGTCTAGTCAAAGTCATTGCCAAGAACCCACGAGAAACGCATGGAGAAGGAGCCCAGCCTCCACGACTCACTGCAGGGCTGGGACTGTGAGCTGAGCTCCTGCCAGGGAGGTTGTCAGAAGGATCTACAAAAAAGTAAGCAAGCCAGAGCAGGTGGCCCAGGCTGCCTGTCATCCCCCAGGACTCAGAGGCTGAGGCAGGAGGATTGTCACGAATCTGCAGTCACCCTATGCTGTAGAGTGAAACCTTGTCTCAAAAAACAAGAAAGAAAGAAAGGAAAAGAAAAGAGGGCTGGAGAGATGACTCAGCAGTTGGGATCATTGGCTGCTCTTCCAGGGGTCCTGAGTTCAGTTCCCAGCAACCACATGGTGGCTCACAACATCTGTAATGAGATCTGGTGCCCTCTGCTGGCCTGCAGGGACACATGCAGACAGAACACTATATATAATAAATAAATCAATCAAAGGAAAACAGGGTTGAGCTATGGTAGCTCACACCTTTAATCCCAGCACTCGGGAGGCAGAGGCAGGTGGATCTCTGTGAGTTCAAGGCCAGCCTGGTCTACAGAGTGAGTTCCAGGACAGCCAGGACTACAAAGAGAAACCCTGTCTTGGAAAACAAAACAAGCAAAAGGTTTCCTTGGGGCTACTGGTATAGTTCTCGAGCTGGGGATGGGTACCCCACAAACCCATGTACTTCATGCATTCTGTGACCTGCGAGCTACATTCTCACAAAGGAGCAGTGAGACCAATAACCGAATATTGTTGAACATCTCTGAGGCCATTAACCGCAGGCTGCCTCCTGGGATGGCACACAGTCTTGGGCCCCAAGCCCTGAGGCTCCCAAGACTCCGCAAGGGTGCGCAGCCCACAGCTTTGGCAGCCTCCTCCTGTAACCCCCTCCTCGGCGCCTCTGCACAGGCCGTGCCCGACACTTGGGACCCTCGCCCAGAGCACTATATTGCTCTTTTTTTGGGGGTGGGGGATTTCGAGACAGGGTTTCTCTGTGGCTTTGGAGGGTGTCCTGGAACTCGCTCTGTAGACCAGGCTGGCCTCGAACTCACAGAGATCCGCCTGCCTCTGCCTCCCGAGTGCTGGGGTTAAAGGTGTGCGCCACCAACGCCCGCCTATCATTGCTTTCTCTCACCCTCTGTCCCTAGGGCATGGCTAACAACAGGACTGCGTAGAGGTCTTGAGCCCAGAACCTACGAATGGGACTTTATTTGGAAATGGAGTCTTTGAAGAATCACACAGACGAAGTCAAGCTTCAGGGGGCCTTTGTGAGCACAGTTAAAGGAGTAAGAAGAAAGGTGCTTGGGGCTGGAGAGACGGCTCAGAGGTTAAGAGTACTGGCTGATCTTCCACAGGTCCCGAGTTCAATTCCCCACAACCACATGGTGGCTCACAACCATCTACAATTCAATCTGGTGCCCTCTTCTGGCAGAACACTGTATATGTATGTAATAAATAAATAAATCTTAAAAAAAAAAGAAAAAAAAGGTGAGGGGCTGGAGAGATGGCTCAATGGTTAGAGCACTGGCTGCTCTTCCAAGGAACCTGGGTTCGAATCTTAGCACCCACATGGTAGCTCACAACTGTCTCTAATTCCAGTTCCAGGAGGTCCATAGGCACCATGTACAAGCAAAGCTTCCACACACATGAAGTAAGTAAGGGCCCAGATGGCAGGAGAGGCAGGAAGGAGTCTCCCCAGGGTCTTGGAGGGAACATGGCTGTACAGACGTGTGTTACGTGTCCTGTCCCTGGGACACCATAGCTTGGCGTCTGAAGCTGGCATGTGGGCAGGTGTTGGCCAGGGCAGCCCTGGGAGACTTGCTCAGAGGCACCTACAGCTCCCATGGGTCCCACACAAGCCCTGTCAGTGTCCACGGGACCCTGGGTACCGGTGGGCGTGTGGGATGCTGGGTGTGGCCGAGACTTCCCAGGTTCTGCGGCCACAGCCACCTCACCTCACGCAGGGGCCCGTTGAGCTCCCCGAGGATGCTGTCCTCATCGAACATCTTCCCTTGGTATCGGTGCTCGTAGTAATCGTGGATTTTTTGGCGGAAGTCAGCCGGCAACTTGTGGAAGGACATATATTGTTCTACTTGCTTGTACTGAGGGGAGGAGAGCAGGATCAGCGTTTGTCCCAGAGACAGGCCCAGCCCAGTGCCCCCCAGCTCGGGGACACACCACCCTGTCTAGCCTGGCCTAGGGAGACGCCAAGCCCGGCAACACCAAAGACAAGTGATGTGTTTTGTTTTTTCTTTTTCTTTTTTTTTGTTTTATGAGACAGGGTTTCTCTGTATTGTTTCGGGGGCTATCGGTCGAACTCACAGAGATCCACCTGCCTCTGCCTCCCGAGTGCTGGGATTAAAGGCGTGCGCCACCACCGCCCGGCCTGATGTGTTTTGCTTTGAGACAGGGTTTCATGTAGCTCAGTGTGGCCTCAGACTTGCTAGCCAGCCAAGGATAACCTTGAACTCCTGATTGTCCTGCCTCTACCTCTCAAGTGCTGGGATGACAGACATGTGCCACCATAACGGGTTTGTGACACCGCAGTGGCACTTCACAGATGCTCTGCCAGAAGTGCAGGCAGCCTGCCCATGCCCAGGCCCTGGTGTTTTGTTTTGCTGTGTGCCGTAGGATCTCACTCTAGACCAGGCTGGCCTGGAATTTGAACTCAGCCTTCCCGAGTGGTGACATGACAGCCTGAGACACCATGCCCAGTTAGCAAATACATTCGTGCTTAAACTTGAGTCTAGGCCAGTATTTAACTTTTAACCCCATCACTAGGCAGGAGGGTCAGGAGTTCAAGGTCATCCTCTGCTGTAGAGTGAGTCTGAGGTCAGCCTGGGCTATGTGATACCATGTCTCTCAAAATGTCTATTGTAAGGGCTGGAGAGATGGCTCAGAGGCTTCTTCCAGAGGTCCTGAGTTCAATTCCCAGCAACCACACGGTGGCTCACAGCCATGTGTAATGAGATCTGGCGCCCTCTTCTGGTGTGCAGGGATATGTGCAGGCAGAACACTGTGTACATAATTAAAAATGTCTATTGTGTAGGCACCTTAGGGTGTCCTGCTCCTACTTCTGAGACTTGGTTATCTACAGTGTCAGCATCAGTGTGCATGTTGACTTCCATCAGAAGCCCTGCCCTGGGACCTGGGGACCAGCACAGCCAGCCCCTCCTTAGCAGGGTGTGGGTGCCAGGCTGTCCCCAGCCCCATTTCTAAGCCACAGCTGCCCTTATCTCAGCAGACCCCGTGACGGCGGGTGGCAGCAGCACCAGCTCATGTTTGGGTGCTAGACGGAGGCTTCCGGACTCGGGCACCTGGCACAGAGCCCGGGTGACCCGGCTGGTACTGTGGGGGTTGGGGGCTGACACCCACTGCAGAGATGGAGCAAGCAGGTGGCTGAAGGCCAGGTTCCTACCCTTTCGGCTGCCATGTGCCATGTGCCCCTAGCACCAGCCGGAGGACAAAGGCTTCGTGTAGAGGACCGACGGAAACGGCTGGTGACTCCACTCTCCCTAAAGGTGCACCTGCTGCCCAGCCACCTACACGTCACCGACACCCCAGAAAGCTCAGAACCAGGCCCCAGGGACTGGTCTCGTTGGCTCTGAACCCCACGGGCTCCTGTCTTTACCTCATCTACCCTGACCTGGGTCTTTCTTTGACTCTGTCCTGAGCACCAAGAGCTCCTGCTCTTAGACCCAGGCATTGCTCCCCGCCCCCAGACTCAGGGCACGGCCTCCCCACTCTGACCTTCTCCTGGTACTGGCGCCGTGACGAGTCGAGGGACTGGATGAGTGCGGTGGCGTGCCCGATGAACATGGCGTAGCAGGTGGCCCCCACGATCATGCTGAGCATGGTCAGCCAGATGTCTGTCATACTCTCAGGGGCCTGCCGCCCGTAGCCGATGCACAGCATGTGACTCATGGCCTTGAAGAGTGCGAAGGAGTAGAGCTCGCTCCACGAGTGGTTCTGCAAAGTCCGTGGAGGTGGCTGGGGGGAGCCCGTGAGCCCGCCCGCCCACCCTCCTGTGGGCGCGTGAGCGGGGAGGAGCTCCCCGTGGTGAGAGACAACCAGGGCAGCTCCAGGCAAAGGACGCGGGCAGTCCCATGTCTCGGGTCTCATGAGGCACCAGCAGGGACACACCTGACACCACCTCCCACTTCGCTTCTGAGAAACTAAGCCGTGAAAGGGCTGCACTCTGGCCAAGGCAGCTTCAAGGTCAAGAGTGCCAATTTCAGAGCTCTGGAACAACACCCGAGGGGCAAGGAGGGGAGAGGTCCACTCCTGGATGTCCCCAGTTGACCCGGTCAGAAAGGGGGGGCACTGGGCCTGTCCAGGAAATGGAACCGCTTGTGCAGGCGGCAGCTGGACAATGGGCTCCTCAGCAGGGGCAGCTGTGCCAGGCTCCTGGGAGGGGCGCTTGTGGGTTCTCCCTACCCGGCTTCTGACTCCATTGATGCCTGCCTGCTGTGTCCTGACCGCACACACCGAGCTCCAGTGTGTCCCTGTCCTGGGGTGCGACCCTCGCTGTAGGCTACCCTCACACTTTCACAGTTCCTGGATGAAACCTAAGGCCACAGGGAGGCTATGCTGGTCCTCATCACTGAGCCATGTTCTTTACCCTCACTGGGGGGTTCTAGGCGGGAGCTCCACTCCTGACCACGCCCCCAGCCCCTCACTGGGGGGATTTAAGGAGGGCTGAGTCCCTCCCAGCCCTCTTTTTACTTTTTTTTTTATTAGAACAATTTATTTTATGAAGCTCAGTTAGGCGATAGCACAATAATGAAAAGAATTGTTTTCGTGTCCCAATGTTGCTTTTTTTCCCTTTTTTAAAAATTTAAACTAGCCGGGCGTTGGTGGTGCACGCCTTTAATCCCAGCACTCGGGAGGCAGAGGCAGGCGGATCTCTGTGAGTTCGAGACCAGCCTGGACTACCAAGCGAGTTCCAGGACAGCTTCCAAAGCCACAGAGAAACCCTGCCTCGAAAAAAAAAATTTAAACTAGAAACAAGCTTGTTTTACATGTCAACCCCAGTTCCCTCTCCCTCCCCTCCTCCCCTGCCCCTCACCCACCCCCATCCCATCCCCTTTCTGCTCCCCAGGGAGGGTGAGGCCTTCCATGGGGATCTTCACAGTCTGTCACATCGTGTGGAGCAGGGCCCAGACCCCCCCCCCCCCGACTTTCTGTTTTGAGACAGTCTGGCTCCTTTACCCTCGCTAGCCTTGAACCTGCTACCACCAGAAGCTGGCAGAGACTCCAGCTGGACCGGACAGCATCCTCTTAACTGACTGTGTGATGCAGACATGGGGACGACAGGTACTTGGAGCTGCTGCTTCTTAGGGTTGATGGTAACAACTTTCCCATCTGAAGGTTGCTCTACTTTAAATACATAACGACAACGAGGGAAGCAGGTGTGGTGGTACACACCTGCCATCCCAGCACTCTGGAAATGGAGGCAGGATGATCAGAAGTTCAAGGTGATCCTCAGCTACTTGAGTTTGAGGCCAGCCTGGGCTACGTGAAGTGCTGACTGCAAAATGTAAGAGGCACTAGAGAGACAGCTCAGCAATTAAGAGCACTGGCTGCTCTTCCAGAGGTCCTAAGTCCAGTTCTCAGAACTCACATCGTTTGTGACTCCAGCTCCAGGGGATCTGATGCCCTCTTCTGGCCTCTGAGAGCACTGCACCCACATGCATATACCCACACACATATACATAATTTAAAAAATAACGATAAACAAACCTAATATGAACTCTTTTAAACAAACAAGTCAGGGGAGGCTGGAGGGAAAGCTTAGCCGGTTAAGAGCATTTGCTGCTCTTGAAATGGACCCCAATTTAGTAACTCCAGTTCCATGGAATCCGATGCCCTCTTCTGACCTCTGCTTGTGCACGCACACAAACATGTGCTTAAAATGAAGTAAGTTTGAGGCTGGCCTCTGCCTCCTGAGTGCTGGGAGTAAAGGCGTGTGGCACCACCGTCAGCTGAGTAAAACATTTTTTAAAGTAAGAGGAGAGCTGAGTGGCGTGTCTGTGTGGCACTGAAAACAGTTGCTGAGCTGCCTGGGGACGCCGGTCGGACATCAGACGGACACTGGGCAGGTGGGCTAAGGGTTCCAGGGGCCGCTGCCAGATACAGGGCACAAAGGCCACTGTGCACAAGGCCCTCTCCCTCCAGGGGCCGCCAGGGGGCCCCAGTGGGCATCAGCCTTCACAGCAGGTGGGGACTGCTCTGCCCACAGAGGACCCTAGATGGAGCTGGTGGGCACAGGGGACAAGGGCAGGTGGGAGCTGCGCCGTCCCGGGGGCCGCGGGGTGCTCTGAGCACTCACCACCACGTCCTGGAGCACTCACCACCATGTCAGGGAGCACCCACCACCACGTCCGGGAGCACTCACCACCATGTTGTTGATG